TCTCTGCCAACAGTCTGGCAGCACCTGATGTGTGTGTTTGTGTTCTAGTTCTCCGCCAACAGTCTGGCAGCACCTGATGTGTGTGTTTGTGTTCTAGTTCTCTGCCAACAGTCTGGCAGCATCTGATGTGTGTGTCTGTGTTCTAGTTCTCCGCCAACAGTCTGGCAGCATCTGATGTGTGTGTCTGTGTTCTAGTTCTCCGCCAACAGTCTGGCAGCACCTGATGTGTGTGTCTGTGTTCTAGTTCTCCCCCAACAGTCTGGCAGCATCTGATGTGTGTGTCTGTGTTCTAGTTCTCCGCCAACAGTCTGGCAGCACCTGATGTGTGTGTTTGTGTTCTAGTTCTCCACCAACAGTCTGGCAGCATCTGATGTGTGTGTTTGTGTTCTAGTTCTCCGCCAACAGTCTGGCAGCACCTGATGTATGTGTCTGTGTTCTAGTTCTCCACCAACAGTCTGGCAGCATCTGATGTGTGTGTTTGTGTTCTAGTTCTCCGACAACAGTCTGGCAGCACCTGATGTGTGTGTTTGTGTTCTAGTTCTCCGCCAACAGTCTGGCAGCATCTGATGTGTGTGTTTGTGTTCTAGTTCTCCGCCAACTGTCTGGCAGCATCTGATGTGTGTGTTTGTGTTCTAGTTCTCCACCAACAGTCTGGCATCATCTGATGTGTGTGTCTGTGTTCTAGTTCTCCTCCAACAGTCTGGCAGCACCTGATGTGTGTGTTTGTGTTCTAGTTCTCCACCAACAGTCTGGCAGCACTTGATGTGTGTGTTTGTGTTCTAGTTCTCCGCCAACAGTCTGGCATCACCTGATGTGTGTGTTTGTGTTCTAGTTCTCCGCCATCAGTCTGGCAGCACCTGATGTGTGTGTCTGTGTTCTAGTTCTCCACCAACAGTCTGGCAGCACCTGATTGTGTGTGTCTGTGGTCTAGTTCTCCTCCAACAGTCTGGCATCCCCTGATGTGTGTGTTTGTGTTCTAGTTCTCTGCCAACAGTCTGGCAGCATCTGATGTGTGTGTCTGTGTTCTAGTTCTCCGCCAACAGTCTGGCAGCATCTGATGTGTGTGTCTGTGTTCTAGTTCTCCGCCAACAGTCTGGCAGCACCTGATGTGTGTGTCTGTGTTCTAGTTCTCCCCCAACAGTCTGGCAGCATCTGATGTGTGTGTCTGTGTTCTAGTTCTCCGCCAACAGTCTGGCAGCACCTGATGTGTGTGTTTGTGTTCTAGTTCTCCACCAACAGTCTGGCAGCATCTGATGTGTGTGTTTGTGTTCTAGTTCTCCGCCAACAGTCTGGCAGCACCTGATGTATGTGTCTGTGTTCTAGTTCTCCACCAACAGTCTGGCAGCATCTGATGTGTGTGTTTGTGTTCTAGTTCTCCACCAACAGTCTGGCAGCACCTGATGTGTGTGTTTGTGTTCTAGTTCTCCGCCAACAGTCTGGCAGCATCTGATGTGTGTGTTTGTGTTCTAGTTCTCCGCCAACTGTCTGGCAGCATCTGATGTGTGTGTTTGTGTTCTAGTTCTCCACCAACAGTCTGGCATCATCTGATGTGTGTGTCTGTGTTCTAGTTCTCCTCCAACAGTCTGGCAGCACCTGATGTGTGTGTTTGTGTTCTAGTTCTCCACCAACAGTCTGGCAGCACCTGATGTGTGTGTCTGTGTTCTAGTTCTCCGCCAACAGTCTGGCATCACCTGATGTGTGTGTTTGTGTTCTAGTTCTCCACCAACAGTCTGGCAGCACCTGATGTGTGTGTTTGTGTTCTAGTTCTCCACCAACAGTCTGGCAGCACCTGATGTGTGTGTTTGTGTTCTAGTTCTCCGCCAACAGTCTGGCATCACCTGATGTGTGTGTTTGTGTTCTAGTTCTCCGCCATCAGTCTGGCAGCACCTGATGTGTGTGTCTGTGTTCTAGTTCTCCACCAACAGTCTGGCAGCACCTGATTGTGTGTGTCTGTGGTCTAGTTCTCCTCCAACAGTCTGGCATCCCCTGATGTGTGTGTTTGTGTTCTAGTTCTCCACCAACAGTCTGGCAGCACCTGATGTGTGTGTCTGTGTTCTAGTTCTCCACCAACAGTCTGGCATCACCTGATGTGTGTGTTTGTGTTCTAGTTCTCCGCCAACAGTCTGGCAGCACCTGATGTGTGTGTCTGTGTTCTAGTTCTCCGCCAACAGTCTGGCATCACCTGATGTGTGTGTTTGTGTTCTAGTTCTCCTCCAACAGTCTGGCAGCACCTGATGTGTGTGTTTGTGTTCTAGTTCTCCGCCAACAGTCTGGCATCACCTGATGTGTGTGTTTGTGTTCTAGTTCTCTGCCAACAGTCTGGCAGCACCTGATGTGTGTGTTTGTGTTCTAGTTCTCTGCCAACAGTCTGGCAGCACCTGATGTGTGTGTTTGTGTTCTAGTTCTCTGCCAACAGTCTGGCAGCACCTGATGTGTGTGTCTGTGGTCTAGTTCTCTTCCAACAGTCTGGCAGCATCTGATGTGTGTGTCTGTGTTCTAGTTCTCTGCCAACAGTCTGGCAGCACCTGATGTGTGTGTTTGTGTTCTAGTTCTCCACCAACAGTCTGGCAGCATCTGATGTGTGTGTCTGTGTTCTAGTTCTCTGCCAACAGTCTGGCAGCATCTGATGTGTGTGTCTGTGTTCTAGTTCTCTGCCAACAGTCTGGCAGCATCTGATGTGTGTGTCTGTGTTCTAGTTCTCCGCCAACAGTCTGGCAGCACCTGATGCGTGTGTTTGTGTTCTAGTTCTCCACCAACAGTCTGGCAGCACCTGATTTGTGTGTCTGTCGTCTAGTTCTCTGCCAACAGTCTGGCAGCACCTGATGTGTGTGTCTGTGTTCTAGTTCTCTGCCAACAGTCTGGCAGCATCTGATGTGTGTGTTTGTGTTCTAGTTCTCAGCCAACAGTCTGGCAGCACCTGATGTGTATGTTTGTGTTCTAGTTCTCTGCCAACAGTCTGGCAACACCTGATGTGTGTGTCTGTGTTCTAGTTCTCCTCCAACAGTCTGGCAGCATCTGATGTGTGTGTTTGTGTTCTAGTTCTCCTCCAACAGTCTGGCAGCACCTGATGTGTGTGTTTGTGTTCTAGTTCTCTTCCAACAGTCCAGCAGCACCTGATGTGTTTGTCTGTGTTCTAGTTCTCCACCAACAGTCTGGCATCATCTGATGTGTGTGTCTGTGTTCTAGTTCTCCTCCAACAGTCTGGCAGCACCTGATGTGTGTGTTTGTGTTCTAGTTCTCCACCAACAGTCTGGCAGCACCTGATGTGTGTGTTTGTGTTCTAGTTCTCCGCCAACAGTCTGGCATCACCTGATGTGTGTGTTTGTGTTCTAGTTCTCCGCCATCAGTCTGGCAGCACCTGATGTGTGTGTCTGTGTTCTAGTTCTCCACCAACAGTCTGGCAGCACCTGATTGTGTGTGTCTGTGGTCTAGTTCTCCTCCAACAGTCTGGCATCCCCTGATGTGTGTGTTTGTGTTCTAGTTCTCCGCCAACAGTCTGGCAGCACCTGATGTGTGTGTCTGTGTTCTAGTTCTCCACCAACAGTCTGGCATCACCTGATGTGTGTGTTTGTGTTCTAGTTCTCCGCCAACAGTCTGGCAGCACCTGATGTGTGTGTCTGTGTTCTAGTTCTCCGCCAACAGTCTGGCAGCACCTGATGTGTGTGTTTGTGTTCTAGTTCTCCGCCAACAGTCTGGCATCACCTGATGTGTGTGTTTGTGTTCTAGTTCTCTGCCAACAGTCTGGCAGCACCTGATGTGTGTGTTTGTGTTCTAGTTCTCTGCCAACAGTCTGGCAGCACCTGATGTGTGTGTTTGTGTTCTAGTTCTCCGCCAACAGTCTGGCAACACCTGATGTGTGTGTCTGTGGTCTAGTTCTCTTCCAACAGTCTGGCAGCATCTGATGTGTGTGTCTGTGTTCTAGTTCTCTGCCAACAGTCTGGCAGCACCTGATGTGTGTGTTTGTGTTCTAGTTCTCCACCAACAGTCTGGCAGCATCTGATGTGTGTGTCTGTGTTCTAGTTCTCTGCCAACAGTCTGGCAGCATCTGATGTGTGTGTCTGTGTTCTAGTTCTCTGCCAACAGTCTGGCAGCATCTGATGTGTGTGTCTGTGTTCTAGTTCTCCGCCAACAGTCTGGCAGCACCTGATGCGTGTGTTTGTGTTCTAGTTCTCCACCAACAGTCTGGCAGCACCTGATTTGTGTGTCTGTCGTCTAGTTCTCTGCCAACAGTCTGGCAGCACCTGATGTGTGTGTCTGTGTTCTAGTTCTCTGCCAACAGTCTGGCAGCATCTGATGTGTGTGTTTGTGTTCTAGTTCTCAGCCAACAGTCTGGCAGCACCTGATGTGTATGTTTGTGTTCTAGTTCTCTGCCAACAGTCTGGCAACACCTGATGTGTGTGTCTGTGTTCTAGTTCTCCTCCAACAGTCTGGCAGCATCTGATGTGTGTGTTTGTGTTCTAGTTCTCCTCCAACAGTCTGGCAGCACCTGATGTGTGTGTTTGTGTTCTAGTTCTCTTCCAACAGTCCAGCAGCACCTGATGTGTGTGTCTGTGTTCTAGTTCTCCACCAACAGTCTGGCAGCACCTGGTGTGTGTGTCTGTGTTCTAGTTCTCAGCCAACAGTCTGGCAACACCTGATGTGTGTGTTTGTGTTCTAGTTCTCCTCCAACAGTCTGGCAGCACCTGATGTGTGTGTCTGTGTTCTAGTTCTCCACCAACAGTCTGGCAGCACCTGATGTGTGTGTCTGTGTTCTAGTTCTCTGCCAACAGTCTGGCAGCACCTGATGTGTGTGTTTGTGTTCTAGTTCTCCGCCAACAGTCTGGCAGCATCTGATGTGTGTGTTTGTGTTCTAGTTCTCCGCCAACAGTCTGGCAGCACCTGATGTGTGTGTTTGTGTTCTAGTTCTCCACCAACAGTCTGGCAGCACCTGATGTGTGTGTTTGTGTTCTAGTTCTCCGCCAACAGTCTGGCAGCACCTGATGTGTGTGTTTGTGTTCTAGTTCTCCGCCAACAGTCTGCTGGTGAAACCCATCTCTGTCTACAGTCTGGATGCATCTGATGTGGCAGCACTGCTGGACATGCCCTTGGCAATGACTCAGAAACTTCACACCCAGCAATGGTATGATGCTTTAACTATATGTTTTAAGTACCATATTTATTCATGTAAAATACATACTTTTTTTATCAGTTTTTAGACTCCATTATATATCTACGAGAACTAAATGCTACCCATTTTTCCCCTGACAAGTATGTGGCCTTACAATGGAAGACAACCAACTGAACAGTATGACGAGAATTTACTAGTAAATATATCTAATCTGAAAGCATAAATCACAACACTTGTTGTTAATCTGTCGGCTACGCTGCTAGTCATGACAGGTCATCAGTTCAACAATCGATATATCCAGCTTTGGAATGCAAATATTACCACTACCCACCTGAACTTCATTTTTAAACGTTTTCTGAAGACGATATATGCTCATGTCCTAATACATATGTCTAGTTTTTAATTAAGAGTCAGGAATATAACTTTGCATAACCCCACTGCTACGAGCTTACTAGCATATCACATGACCAGACACTCCACTCTGCTCCACTCTGCTCCACTCTGCTCCGCTACACTGTGCTACACTACACTACACTACGCTGTGCTCCGCTACACTACACTACACTACACTACGCTGTGCTCCGCTACACTACACTACACTACGCTGTGCTCCGCTACACTACACTACACTACACTACACTACACTACACTACACTACACTACACTACACTACACTACACTGTGCTACACTACACTACACTGTGCTACACTACACTACACTACACTACACTACACTACACTGTGCTACACTACACTGTGCTACACTACACTACACTACACTACACTACGCTGTGCTCCGCTACACTACACTACACTACACTGTGCTACACTACACTACACTGTGCTACACTACACTACACTACACTACACTACACTACACTACACTGTGCTACACTACACTACACTGTGCTACACTACATTACACTACACTACACTACACTACACTACACTACACTACACTACACTACACTACACTACACTACACTACTCTACACTACACTACACTACACTATTCTACTCTACTCTACACTACACTACACTACACTACATTACACTACACTACACTACACTACACTGTGCTACACTACACTACACTACACTACACTACACTACACTACACTACTCTACTCTACTCTACTTGATCATGCTGACTACAGAATATGCTGTTTAAAGGGAAATAAACTTTCAACTTTGGGGTTGTTGTGCTCCACAGCCTGGTGCCAATTTTCTAGCCATTGTAATGAACTGACACTGCCCCTGTGTCATTAGATTATACACCTGTAAATATCCGGGTTAGAATAGGTCTTCAGCAACCCATGCTTGCCCCAACAGGCAACTATGCTTGTCATAAGAAGGGACTAACAAGATCAAGTGGTCAGGCACGCTGACTTGGTTGATTCATGTCATCTTATCCCAATTATGTGGATTGATGCTCATGATGTCAATCACTGGATTGTCTGGTCCAGACTCGATTATTTACAGACCACCATCATATAGCTGGAATATTGCTGAGTGCAGGGTAACAATAAACAAAACATTAAGGTATTCATGTCAGATTAATATGGTACATCTATAAACCTGGACCAGCAGACAGACAATGATGTGTTTCAAGGAGTTGAATGACATTTGTTTAGACTGTCAATTAGCCCAAGCCTAGTCTTCATTTAATCATTGATCTGTTTCCTGTTTGCCTATGGGTTATGTCCACAACATCAGAATGAAACAAATGTGTTCCTGTCTTCAGCCACTTGCCAATATCTGACACCATTCCGCTCATCCCTGTCCTCTTGGGCAGCAACTGTTGCCCATGGCTACAAGAGGAACACAGAAATCTGCTCCAAGAGTTCCTGGAATCTCCTCATGCCTGCTGTGTGGGTAGAGGGCAGGTAAGGGATAATGCAGTTTAATAATTAATAACTGACTTTCACTTTGTGTAAGTTCATTGGAGTATGGCCTTCACAGAGTGAGGTCCTAACTGTATAAACATTAGAGTTTGCGACATCAAATGTCTGTTTTGTGGTCATATGACTGACTTCTCAACCAATGGAAAAGCTGTATATCCTGTAAACTTCACATTTATAAATTATCTTTGAATGTTTGATAGGAAAATGTATGTATAATAGTAGAGTGAGTGAGTGGGTTGGGTTTAACACTGGTTTGACTGGTATCACATCATATCAAGTGATGCAGGTCGAAATCACTTATCTTCTACAAACAACTGAAACCTACAAGCAGAGGTATGATCCTGACGAACCAAGAATCAAAATCAGAGTCTGGGATTCAAACTCACATTAAACTGATCTCAGCTCAGCTAGGGGAGACAACTCTGCACAGGAATTGCTGAGACATGATTATATATAAATAGAATGAGACATGTACAGACCAGAACGTTGGACTGTTTTAAAATTAATCAAATTAAAATAATTGGCAAGTTTTGTATTTATTACCCCATATGAAAGTTATGAATGCTTTGCAGAGGACATTGTTGCCTATTAAGGGTGAAGGTGCTGTGAGCATTGTGATGAAATAAGGCTTTGTTTCCAGTCAAAACGAAGAATCCCTGAACTTGTCCATATCAGCAGGGAAACAGATGACCTGTCTGCCAAGTCACGGGATTTGACTGATCTTCGACAGAAATACTATGGATCCCGACTCTCCGTGTCTGATCTGAACCAACAACTCTACTGGAGCCCTGTGTGTGAAACTGTGGAGGGGAGTGAGGGCAAGGTGAGATACATAGCAGGTCATTCCATCTCTAGCTGTAGTATACTGGAGCCCTGTGTATGAAACTGTGGAGGGGAGTGAGGGCACGGTGAGATATATAGCAGGTTATTCCATCTCTAGCTGTAGTATACTGAAGCCCAGTGTGTGAAACTGTGGAGGGGAGTGAGGGCAAGGTGAGATATATAGCAGGTTGTTCCATCTCTAGCTGTAGTATACTGAAGCCCAGTGTGTGAAACTGTGGAGGGGAGTGAGGGCAAGATGAGATATATAGCAGGTCATTCCATCTCTAGCTGTAGTTTACTGAAGCCCTGTGTGTGAAACTGTGGAGAGGAGTGAGGGCAAGGTGAGATATATAGCAGGTTATTCCATCTCTAGCTGTAGTATACCGGAGCCCTGTGTGTGAAATTGTGAAGAGGGCAAGGCGAGATATAGGAGGTTATTCCGTCTCTAGCTGTAGTATACTGGAGCCCTCTGTGTGAAACTGTGGAGAGGAGTGAGGGCAAGGTGAGATATATAGCAGGTTATTCCATCTCTGGCTGTAGTATACTGGAGCCCTCTGTGTGAGACTGTGGAGTGAGGGCAAGGCGAGATATAGGAGGTTATTCCATCTCTAGCTGTATTATACTGGAGCCCTGTGTGTGAGACTGTGGAGTGAGGGTGCCCTGAGATATATAGCAGGTTATTCCATCTCTGGCTGTAGTATACTGGAGCCCTCTGTGTGAGACAGTGGAGTGAGGTCAAGGTGAGATATTGGAGGTTATTCCATCTCTAGCTGTAGTATACTGGAGCCCTCAGTGGGAGACTGTGGATTGAGGGCAAGGCGAGATATAGGAGGTTATTCCATCTCTAGCTGTATTATACTGGAGCCCTGTGTGTGAGACTGTGGAGTGAGGGAAAGGCGAGATATAGGAGGTTATTCCATCTCTAGCTGTATTAAACTGGAGCCCTGTGTGTGAGACTGTTGAGTGAGGGCAAGGCGAGATATATAGCAGGTTATTCCATCTCTAGCTGTAGTATACTGGAGCTCTCTGTGTGAGACTGTGGAGTGAGGGCAAGGCGAGATATAGGAGGTTATTCCATCTCTAGCTGTAGTATACTGGAGCCCTGTGTGTGAGACTGGAGTGAGGGCAAGGTGAGATATATAGCAGGTTATTCCATCTCTAGCTGTAGTATACTGGAGCCCTCTGTGTGAGACTGTGGAGTGAGGGCAAGGTGAGAAATAGGAGGTTATTCCATCTCTAGCTGTAGTATACTGGAGCCCTGTGTGTGAAACTGTGGAGGGGAGTGAGGGCAAGGTAAGATATATAGCAGGTTATTCCATCTCTAGCTGTAGTATACTGGAGCCCTCTGTGTGAGACTGTGGAGGGTAGTGAGGGCAAAGTGAGATATATAGCAGGTTATTCCATCTCTAGCTGTAGTATACTAGAGCCCTGTGTGTGAGACTGTGGAGTGAGGGCAAGGTGAGATATATAGCAGGTTATTCCATCTCTAGCTGTAGTATACTGGAGCCTTCTGTGTGAGACTGTGGAGTGAGGGCAAGGTGAGAAATAGGAGGTTATTCCATCTCTAGCTGTAGTATACTGGAGCCCTCTGTGTGAGACTGTGGAGGGTAGTGAGGGCAAGATGAGATATATAGCAGGTTATTCTATCTCTAGCTGTAGTATACTGAAGCCCTGTCTGTGAGACTGTGGAGGGCATGAGTGGCAAGGTTATTATGATTTATCTTTTTTTTTCAGCTTTTGATTGGTTACCTCCAGTGCAGTCGTGTGACAGGAAGACTCCAACTATTGGATGCTACAGGATCCGTTGACCTGGCCGTCTGCTCCTCAGCCCCACCAAGCGGCCATGTTTGTTGTCCACCCTGTGTCAGCCCCAAGCCTGGACAAGCTTTAACATGTCCTCTGGTTCAGCCCAACCTGCTTGGCAGCATCATTTGTGTAACCAGGTACAAGCGTATTGCTGAGCGGTTCCTCAATACTGACGTGCCAAACTCACATCACATTGATACCAAATATGTAAGCAGGTCCCGACATGTTCTGTACCTCCAGATCTCCCTCACAGACTGTGTGCTGATACACCCTCAGGCCGGGTTGTTAAGTGAAGGCTCCTTTAATGAAACAGCACAGGAGACAGAGTTCCTTGAAGGGAAAGACAGACAGTCTTCATCAGCTCCTCCATCAAAGAGGAAGAGACAGACTGAATGTGATATGAAGGATGAATCACGTACTGGAGACTCATCTGAGTCTCAGTTGGTCTACATCTCCCACAAGGAGTCTCTGACCACTCTCAGCAGGAAGGAGTCCCCAAAGCTTAGGTTCTGTGTTCTTGGATATTTGATAGGGCAGGCAAAGTCATCTCACAGTGATGACCCGAGCAGAGTCATAAATACGCAGACTGGTATTCTTACAAGTTGCAAAAGTAAACAACAAAGCAGTGCACAGGTTAAACTAAAGGAGAACATAGGCTATGTAAATGCAAATACATCATCTTTTGATCTTCATCCTTGTAACATAGACTTGAACACTTCAAAGCCTACAGCTCTGTTAGGAGAAAGTGCTGGAAATGGATCATCTCAAAACAAAAGTTCTCAAGGAAGAACTGTCTATAGAAGACCTGTTCAACGTGGGCATTGTACAAGAGGAAGTGGTCTGGGAGGACGTACTGGAGAGAGTGGAGAGGGAGGATTTTGTACAGGAGGAAGTGGTCCGGGAGGACGTTGTACAGGAGAGAGTGGTCAGGGAGGAAGTTGTACAGGAGGAAGTGGTCCAAGGGGACATTGTACAGTGGGGAGTGGTCCAAGGGGACATTGTACAGGAGAGAGTGGTCCGGGAGGACGTTGTACAGTGGGGAGTGGTCCAAGGGGACATTGTACAGGAGAGAGTGGTCCGGGAGGACGTTGTACAGGAGGAAGTGGTCCAGGAGGACGTTGTACAGGAGGAAGTGGTCCAGGAGGACGTTGTACAGGAGAGAGTGGTCCGGGAGGACATTGTACAGGAGAGAGTGGTCCAGGAGGACGTTGTACAGGAGGAAGTGGTCCAGGAGGACGTTGTACAGGAGAGAGTGGTCGGGGAGGACGTTGTACAGGAGAGAGTGGTCAGGGAGGAAGTTGTACAGTGGGGAGTGGTCCAAGGGGACATTGTACAGGAGGAAGTGGTCTGGGAGGACGTACAGGAGGAAGTGGTCCAGGAGGACATTGTACAGGAGAGAGTGGTCCGGGAGGACATTGTACAGGAGGAAGTGGTCCAGGAGGACATTGTACAGGAGAGAGTGGTCTGGGAGGACGTACAGGAGAGAGTGGTCCGGGAGGACGTTGTACAGGAGAGAGTGGTCCGGGAGGACGTTGTACAGGAGAGAGTGGTCCGGGAGGACATTGTACAGGAGGAAGTGGTCCAAGGGGACATTGTACAGGAGAGAGTGGTCCGGGAGGACATTGTACAGGAGGAAGTGGTCCAGGAGGACATTGTACAGGAGAGAGTGGTCCGGGAGGACGTTGTACAGGAGGAAGTGGTCCGGGAGGACATTGTACAGGAGGAAGTGGTCCAAGGGGACATTGTACAGGAGAGAGTGGTCCGGGAGGACATTGTACAGGAGGAAGTGGTCCAGGAGGACATTGTACAGGAGAGAGTAGTCATGGAGGAAGTTGTAGAGGACAGACTGGTTCTCCAGGAAGCGCTGCTGCTCAGCCAGCTGTGCTGCTGTTCCAGGACGATGTGAGATGGTACAGTGTCCTCCAGGTGGGGTGCTTCTACACAATGACAGCAGCAGGGCAGGGAGGTGGGTTCCAGCCACGGCCCCTGGAGAACAAGATGAGGAAGGCCATAGAGTCGTCTCACACACGTGTGTGTGTGCAGGTTCCTCCCAATGTGGGGGTCACACGTGTGATCAGTCCGGACCATGTGAGTGTAGAAGCCATATGTTTATCTCAATTTCAGATTCAGACTGCTTGTGGTGATGTCAAATGGAATAAAAACATTTTCTAGGTTTTGAGTGGTAGTCATCTTGCCAAATTAAATAAAATAAAATGTATCACTCAAAATTATAATGCTTAAAAAATAAAACAATTTGTTCTCAGGCAATGACATTTGAAAATATAGTGTTGGCAGGCGGGTTTGGTTTTTTTCTGTTTTGCTTGTTCAAACTAGTATGTAACCATTTAAACAGTTGTGTACCATCAACCTGGGAAAGGGCCTCCCTTCATAAACAAGCTTACAAATTCCTATTGCCACCATGACTACAACATGAGATGTGCAGTAAAGCAATTTGCATGTAAAGGGAAGTAACTGTGTGCTATATGGGATCACATTGTTTTTAAGTATTAGAATTTTTTGGGAGAGGAAATTGTAAATAAAACAAAATGTGTGGCGGACTTCATGATGATGAAGACTATTATTTATTTTAGCCTAATACTTTCAAACACTGTGTAATTCAGGTTACTGCATCTTCTAGAGGCAAAGGAGTTAACTGACTATAAAAGTCCAGTTTCCACCCTTGCTGAACTAGGCTGGTATTATGGAGTTACGTTTTGTCTGGGCTAACGAGTCTATGCATAGTCCAATCAAAATCGCGCACCGAAATCGAAATCCGGTTCGTAAACTGTCGTGCAGATTTCGATCTATTGCAGGATTTGCAAAGCATGTGCAATTCTTTGTCAGCAGATATTTTCCAAATCCGTTCATGTTTTAATCAAGGTGCTCACGTGATTTGATGCATTTCGCGATGTAAGACCCATTTTATCACAATAAAGATCATGATTATCGATCAGATGGTCCTGACTGGGCGCCACCTTTTTGTGTGAAGCAAACGCAAGTGATACGAGAGGTGGAATCTGATTGGTCCAAGGAGAGGCTTAGAAGGGACATAATTGGTAATAGCCACTGGTGGCGCAACGGTCGAGCCCAGTAATTCCAGTCTAGTCGGCAAGGGTGGAAATTGGACTTTTAAAGTCAGTTAACTCTCTTGCCTCGGGAAGATGGGTTACTGTTGATAGGTTAGTTGTTTCAGATTCATATTTTGAATACTTTCTTTGAAGTACTTCATCTAAGTCAAAGCAAAGGTTTGAGTTGTATTATTAAGACATTAACATACCTTGATTATTTTCTTTTCAGTCAAATGTAAATTATGTCTATGTTTTCAGATTCACACAAACAATTTTGATGTGGTGAAGTTTGCTGATTTCTCAGAGGTTTTATCAAGCAGGTATGTTGACTTAACTGTCACTGGTACATGAGTGTGTTGGTAGGGTTTAGTCAACCCTAATGTTCCAGCCTGATGTTGAAGGTGCCTCAATTAGCTGTACAGTGCTGGAAACCTATGACCTTGGCTCCGAATCTTGGTTCTGCTTTTATTCCTAGGTTTGTTAGCAACATGCATGTGCTTGTGGTTTTCACCCAAATGGTAAATGAGTAAGATCTGAATCACTTCCAGCTTTCCTTCAACATCAAGCTGACACTGTTACAAAACTGAAATACTGATCAAAGCAGTGGTAAACCCAACTCACTCACTCACTCCAAAACTATTTTGCTTGCTTCCTAATGAAGTCAATCAGTTGTGAAAGTGGAACACTCAACGTGCTGAGTACCAACGAGATCTGCGTAGATGTTAGACTAACATTTAGTCTATGAAATTCTACAGTGAAACCGAGCTATTCCAGAAACCTTGCTTTACTAGTCCATAAAGATTTATTATTTCATGCTCTGAAGTGAAACCCAACTATTCAACTCTAAAGTGAAACCCGGGTATTCAAGAAACCCTACCTTACTCGTCTAAGACCTGTTACACTATTACAGTCTACTCTACAGTAAAACCCTGTTAATCTGGAAAACTGCATTACTGTTGATAATGTTTTCCTGTATACAATTGGACATGTTTAACATTTAGTAATCAGGAACTTTGTTAAAGCAGATGATTACCCTTGGGAGAGAAGTACCCAGAGTAGCAAGGTATCACTGTACGTAGTCTTAGAGAATGTGAGGGATCATCATCAAAAATTTGTTGTGTTTCCAGTTTTACGGGTACCCAGGTAAACATGCAGGGTAGAATTGTCTCCCGCTCCCATCGGCCTCAGACGTCACCACAAGGAGGTCAGCAGCGACATTCAAAGCCCAGTGACTCTCTGCAGCAAGTGAACCAGCATCTAGGTAGGATGTAGTGCTTATAGTAAATGCACAGATGAAAACCATTACAGAGTTACAATGTCGGCAGATCGTTAAAATATTTGTTTCAAATTCCTCTGATGTGATACATTGACTTCTTTTACGTATTTTATCAAAAAAACATTGCCTGTACTTTTGACTAGTTATTGACATGGATTTTAGACAGTTTGTGTTGCTGTATCTCACTAAATAAAATTCTCCACGTTTAATTACTGCCTTCTTCGCAGTGTGTTGCATGTAACATGACAATAAAGGAAGAAACCAGTTTTAGTTAATAATGCTTTCATCCCATAAGACCATGCTGTTGATTAGTGATTGTTTTTAAAATTTACAAATTTTAGATCCAATGATACCAAATATTATCTTGCCTCAATTATGCAGTCACTTTAAATGTCATTAATTCGTTAACATTTTGTTACCTCCGTTAGTGTGTACAACAAACTCCAGTAAACCCTAATGGTGGCAAGTAAGGGACAAAGCCAAAAATATCTAATTACCCCAAATTCCAAATTTACACCTTTGGCAAATCCAAACTATTCAACCTCCTTGGGATTCTGGATTGAAATAGGACTCCATCAACCTACGATGGTTATAATCAGGGACTTGGCTGACAGCTTGTCATTTTACCCCCATGGGATGGAACGTTCCTCATTATATCAATCACTGGATTGTCTGTTCCAGACTCTGTTATTTCCATGCTGATGTCATACAGCTGGAATATTGCTCATTGCAAAAAAAAAACAAATCCAACTATTCAGTCACAAACAACTTGTCATAGGATTGAATATTTCCAAAGACATGAGGTGTAATTAATGAAGACGTAGAATGTTTGATCATTTCTCATGCAAAGAAACATGATGAACAATGCAATCATTGATAAACAAAGCCAGTAAACAAAATACAGTAATTTGCAATCAGTGTCTGATTTGTCAGCTTGTGTTGTATGGTAACCTGATCACCTACAGAGGTGAGGTGAGGTGAAATGGGGTTTAATGTCACTTCCAAGATTATTGCTTATATGGTGTGTGTGTGTGTGGGGGGGGGGGGGGGGGGGGGTCTGTGTGAGAGAGAGAGAGACCTTCCGCTCTCCAACGGATGCTCTACCACTAGACCACTAACAGGGAAGAGAGAAGGGGTGGGCTATGTATTATTTGCCTATCTACTTAAATGATCAAGTTGTCTATGAAATGGACTCATGTGACCTGCATATATATTTGGTTATGTATACAGATTTTTCACATAAACAATTTTTAATGACAAGGTTGGCTTGTTATCCTTATTTTTCTAGCTCAGCAGAATCTACTTAGCAAAGTCATAGTATGACCTATATTTTCCAACAAGTCATTTTTAGTCTAATTGATAACAATTTTTTGGTTTCTGAGGTTCCATCCAATATGATTACGCTAATAGTGAGTGTCTTGTGTACATTGCCAGGGGTGTCGGTGCTCGATGACCAGTGTGTGTGCCTGCAAGTGCGGAGTCTCACATCAGACGCAGAGATACCTGTGTACATGAACCTTCAGACATCGTCCTACCCCCTGGGACTGCTGCCTGGTGCCGGGGTGGAGTTCCACCGCCTAGAGAGGAAGGTGTCACGCATAGAGAACGTCTATTTTCAGTTCACAACTGTATCTACTGTAACACTTTTCCAGGTGGCAGATTCACAGAGGTAGGAAACTTGTTTGGTTTTGTGTGTTTCATATCAACCTGTCATGAGAATCTGGATCATAATATTTCCTTGGTCCGTCATGCATGACATATCTGAGGACCATGTTCAGGCCATGTGACATGGTTGATGATGTGTCCTTGTATTCTGGTGGTCATGCTATCAACCATTGGTTTGCCTCATCCAGTGATGCAGTGATCATGTAGCTAGCCGTGGCATGAAACAACGAACAAATAAGGTACTTCTTTGAACTGGTTTGAAATGTCAGTCAGAGAGAGAATAAAGTAAATGTAAGAGAAATTTGATTGTACCTTCAAAGGGCACTGCTGTGGGACAATATCCAACCAACAAAAACATGACGGAAACATCTTGTTTCAGATCCAGCAGATCACCAGGCATCTTGTTGAGGACAAAGACAGTGTGACTATCACACTCAATACATCAGACACATCCCACTTCAGTGCATCTTTGTTTCAGACTCACCACAGCCCCAGACAGTCCTGTAGACACAGAGAGTGTGACAGTCCCTCACCAATACATTATCGACATATGGCGGTGTCCGACGTCCAGCATGGAGTTTACCTCCACCTGCTACATCTGCCACTTCATGAGGCTATGCCTCAAGTCTGTCTGCGCTGCCTGTGGTAGCATCGTCACCACCACTGGCTGCAGTAGCCAGGCCTGTACGGTCTCTGACACCTATCTCAGTGCTAAAGTCAGGTAGGGTCACTACACTGGCTGCAGTAGCCAGGCCTGTACGGTCTCCGACACCTATCTCAGTGCTAAAGTCAGGTAGGGTCACCACCACCGGCTGCAGTAGCCAGGCCTGTACCGTCTCCGACACCTATCTCAGTGCTAAAGTCAGGTAGGGTCACCACCACCGCCTGCAGTAGCCAGGCCTGTAGGGTCTCTGACACCTATCTCAGTGCTAAAGTCAGGTAGGGTCACCACCACCGGCTGCAGTAGCCAGGCCTGTACCGTCACCGACACCTATCTCAGTGCTAAAGTCAGGTAGGGTCGCCACCACCGCCTGCAGTAGCCAGGCCTGTACGGTCTCCGACACCTATCTCAGTGCTAAAGTCAGGTAGGGTCACCACCACCGGCTGCAGTAGCCAGGCCTGTACGGTCTCCAACACCTATCTCAGTGCTAAAGTCAGGTAGGGTCACTACACTGGCTGCAGTAGCCAGGCCTGTACGGTCTCCGACACCTATCTCAGTGCTAAAGTCAGGTAGGGTCACCACCACCAGCTGCAGTAGCCAGGCCTGTACGGTCTCCGACACCTATCTCAGTGCTAAAGTCAGGTAGGGTCACTACACCGGCTGCAGTAGCCAGGCCTGTACGGTCTCTGACACCTATCTCAGTGCTAAAGTCAGGTAGGGTCACTACACTGGCTGCAGTAGCCAGGCCTGTACGGTCTCCGACACCTATCTCAGTGCTAAAGTCAGGTAGGGTCACCACCACCGGCTGCAGTAGCCAGGCCTGTACGGTCTCCGACACCTATCTCAGTGCTAAAGTCAGGTAGGGTCACTACACTGGCTGCAGTAGCCAGGCCTGTACGGTCTCCGACACCTATCTCAGTGCTAAAGTCAGGTAGGGTCACTACACTGGCTGCAGTAGCCAGGCCTGTACGGTCTCCGACACCTATCTCAGTGCTAAAGTCAGGTAGGGTCACCACCACCGGCTGCAGTAGCCAGGCCTGTACGGTCTCCGACACCTATCTCAGTGCTAAAGTCAGGTAGGGTCACTACACTGGCTGCAGTAGCCAGGCCTGTACGGTCTCCGACACCTATCTCAGTGCTAAAGTCAGGTAGGGTCACTACACTGGCTGCAGTAGCCAGGCCTGTACGGTCTCCGACACCTGTCTCAGTGCTAAAGTCAGGTAGGGTCACTACACTGGCTGCAGTAGCCAGGCCTGTACGGTCTCCGACACCTGTCTCAGTGCTAAAGTCAGGTAGGGTCACTACACTGGCTGCAGTAGCCAGGCCTGTACGGTCTCCGACATCTATCTCAGTGCTAAAGTCAGGTAGGGTCACCACCACCAGCTGCAGTAGCCAGGCCTGTACGGTCTCCGACATCTATCTCAGTGCTAAAGTCAGGTAGGGTCACTACCACCAGCTGCAGTAGCCAGGCCTGTACAGTCTCCGACACCTATCTCAGTGCTAAAGTCAGGTAGGGTCACTACCACCAGCTGCAGTAGCCAGGCCTGTACAGTCTCCGACACCTATCTCAGTGCTAAAGTCAGGTAGGGTCACCACCACCGGCTGCAGTAGCCAGACATGTACGGTCTCCGACACCTATCTCAGTGCTAAAGTCAGGTAGGGTCACCACCAACGGCTGCAGTAGCCAGGCCTGTACGGTCTCCGACACCTATCTCAGTGCTAAAGTCAGGTAGGGTCACTACACTTGCTGCAGTAGCCAGGCCTGTACGGTCTCCGACACCTATCTCAGTGCTAAAGTCAGGTAGGGTCACCACCACCGGCTGCAGTAGCCAGACATGTACGGTCTCCGACACCTATCTCAGTGCTAAAGTCAGGTAGGGTCACCACCACCGCCTGCAGTAGCCAGGCCTGTACGGTCTCTGACACCTATCTCAGTGCTAAAGTCAGGTAGGGTCACCACCACCGGCTGCAGTAGCCAGGCCTGTACGGTCTCCAACACCTATCTCAGTGCTAAAGTCAGGTAGGGTCACCACCACCGGCTGCAGTAGCCAGACATGTACGGTCTCCGACACCTATCTCAGTGCTAAAGTCAGGTAGGGTCACCACCACCGCCTGCAGTAGCCAGGCCTGTACGGTCTCGGACACCTATCTCAGTGCTAAAGTCAGGTAGGGTCACTACACTGGCTGCAGTAGCCAGGCCTGTACGGTCTCCGACACCTGTCTCAGTGCTAAAGTCAGGTAGGGTCACTACACTGGCTGCAGTAGCCAGGCCTGTACGGTCTCCGACACCTATCTCAGTGCTAAAGTCAGGTAGGGTCACTACACTGGCTGCAGTAGCCAGGCCTGTACGGTCTCCGACACCTATCTCAGTGCTAAAGTCAGGTAGGGTCACCACCACCAGCTGCAGTAGCCAGGCCTGTACGGTCTCCGACACCTGTCTCAGTGCTAAAGTCAGGTAGGGTCACTACACTGGCTGCAGTAGCCAGGCCTGTACGGTCTCCGACACCTGTCTCAGTGCTAAAGTCAGGTAGGGTCACTACACTGGCTGCAGTAGCCAGGCCTGTACGGTCTCCGACACCTGTCTCAGTGCTAAAGTCAGGTAGGGTCACTACACTGGCTGCAGTAGCCAGGCCTGTACGGTCTCCGACACCTATCTCAGTGCTTAAGTCAGGTAGGCCCAAGTTGTCCATTTAAGTCAAGAATATGTTATTTAGTACATTATCAACTTTGTCAAACAAATTGAATTGAAAAGATTTTGACACATGAACTGAAGTGGCATATGTGCAAACGTTAAGAAGGAAATCCTGCACATGTATCTTATCAGCTGGTGTTGCCCTGTGCATGGAATAGTCCAGTCATTCTAACCACATCCCTGTATCATCATACAGTTCAGGGCACTGTTCCCACATAGCAGAGACCCGTGAAGATTCCGGGGTAGAATTGGCCTTCAGCAACCCATGCTTGTCGTAAAAGGCGACTAACGGGATCGGGTGGTCAGGCTCGCTGACTTGGTTGATGCATGTCATCGGTCCCAATTGCGTGGATCGATGCTCATGATATTAATCACTGGATTGTCTGGTCTAGACTCGATTATTTACAGACCGCCGTCATATAGCTGGAATATTGCTGAGTGCGGCGTTAAACAACAACCAACCAACCAACCCACATAGCAGATGGTGATCATTACTCCTATATTTCAACGTGGACTTGTGACAGTTGTAGCACTGAGATCCCTTTGTGGAAAGGGTCCCAGAGTGAAAGAAAAACAGTCACTAATGTGTGCCCATTCTTTCAGAACATGAACATGTTATCCATGAAGTTGACCTATTCTCACCAACCCCACCGTGGGATTTAAATAAGCTGTAAAAATGCTTCACCAATTATACTTCCTTTTTTGTTTTTCGCATGCCAAGTGTCCTGGTAGATGATGGAACAAGTCCTGCTGTGGTTTCGTTTTCCAACTGTCCGGAACATGTGCAGAGCCTGCTACGTCTGTCACCGGAACAGTGGCGCCACCTAGAGGTGGCCATACAGGAGCAGGGAGAAGTCTTCCTGCAGCAGGTACGTCACAGATCACCCATACAACATTGCGTACACCTACTTCTTTAGGTTAGATAGCATGGAGCAAGGGATCCTGTCACCCATACAACATTGCGTACACCTACTTCTTTAGGTTAGATAGCATGGAGCAAGGGATCCTGTCACCCATACAACATTGCGTACACCTACTTCTTTAGGTTAGATAGCATGGAGCAAGGGATCCTGTCACCCATACAACATTGCGTACACCTACTTCTTTTGGTTAGATAGCATGGAGCAAGGGATCCTGTCACCCATACAACATTGCGTACACCTACTTCTTTTGGTTAGATAGCATGGAGCAAGGGATCCTGTCACCCATACAACATTGCGTACACCTACTTCTTTAGGTTAGATAGGTATGTATTCAACTGCAGTGTGCAGCCATACTATAGCATGGAGCAAGGGGTCCTGTCACCCATACAACATTGCGTACACCTACTTCTTTAGGTTAGATAGGTATGTATTCAACTGCAGTGTGCAGCCATACTATAGCATGGAGCAAGGGGTCCTGTCACCCATACAACATTGCGTACACCTACTTCTTTAGGTTAGATAGCATGGAGCAAGGGGTCCTGTCACCCATACAACATTGCGTACACCTACTTCTTTAGGTTAGATAGCATGGAGCAAGGGGTCCTGTCACCCATACAACATTGCGTACACCTACTTCTTTAGGTTAGATAGCATGGAGCAAGGGGTCCTGTCACCCATACAACATTGCGTACACCTACTTCTTTTGGTTAGATAGCATGGAGCAAGGGATCCTGTCACCCATACAACATTGCGTACACCTACTTCTTTTGGTTAGATAGCATGGAGCAAGGGATCCTGTCACCCATACAACATTGCGTACACCTACTTCTTTAGGTTAGATAGGTATGTATTCAACTGCAGTGTGCAGCCATACTATAGCATGGAGCAAGGGGTCCTGTCACCCATACAACATTGCGTACACCTACTTCTTTAGGTTAGATAGGTATGTATTCAACTGCAGTGTGCAGCCATACTATAGCATGGAGCAAGGGGTCCTGTCACCCATACAACATTGCGTACACCTACTTCTTTAGGTTAGATAGCATGGAGCAAGGGGTCCTGTCACCCATACAACATTGCGTACACCTACTTCTTTAGGTTAGATAGCATGGAGCAAGGGATCCTGTCACCCATACAACATTGCGTACACCTACTTCTTTAGGTTAGATAGCATGGAGCAAGGGATACTGTCACCCATACAACATTGCGTACACCTACTTCTTTTGGTTAGATAGCATGGAGCAAGGGATCCTGTCACCCATACAACATTGCGTACACCTACTTCTTTTGGTTAGATAGCATGGAGCAAGGGATCCTGTCACCCATACAACATTGCGTACACCTACTTCTTTAGGTTAGATAGCATGGAGCAAGGGATCCTGTCACCCATACAACATTGCGTACACCTACGTCTTTAGGTTAGATAGCATGGAGCAAGGGATACTGTCACCCATACAACATTGCGTACACCTACTTCTTTAGGTTAGATAGCATGGAGCAAGGGGTCCTGTCACCCATACAACATTGCGTACACCTACTTCTTTAGGTTAGATAGCATGGAGCAAGGGGTCCTGTCACCCATACAACATTGCGTACACCTACTTCTTTTGGTTAGATAGGTATGAATTCAACTGCAGTGTGCAGCCATACCATAGCATGGAGCAAGGGATCCTGTTGCTCCATGTTCTTTTCACTGTTTGAACCCCCAGTCAGTTTAAGGTAGAAAACATATGCTTTGAGATTTTGAATAAGACTGAGACCATGTGAGGTTCCCATGGACTTTTTAATTCACTTTTACAAAATTCTAAGACGTGGCTACATTAAATCGAATATTTGCTTGTAGTTTTTAAAAATAATAATCCAATGTTTTGGGGATGATTTAAGATAAGTCTGAAATGAATATAGTTGGCTACCGACTATGTCAGAGGACAGAAATGAATCCCTGACTGGCTCGATATAGTGATAAAAAAAAAGCAAAAACAAAAGCTTATGAACCCTAAATGCGTAGATGCATATTAATCGGGAGAAGTGAAATAACAAAGTAATTTGATATTTCTTTTAAAAAGTTGCAACCTCCTGTTCCTCTTGAGCAGAACATCTCACACAAAAAAGAATGAATTCTTTTAGTCCCAACAAGAATTGATCAGTGAAATGGTGTAGCCTTGGTGACAGTTCCCAGCTTGTGCATCTGCAGTTTGTGGGCGAGGCTGAGTCTGTGCTGGAGAACTTCTTGATGCGACTCTGCAGCAGCCAGCATGTCAAGCGCCAGTGTCGGATGATCCTCCAACATCGAGTCTTTCAACATGGCCGACAGAACACATGGCGGTCCGGTGTCCTTGACATTCACCAGATGAACAAAGATGGTGAGACACTGACCCATAGTTTTACTAACAGAAGTCCTGATACGTTGAACTAGCTAGATTAGTGTTTTAGGTAGTAATATCTTACCATCATTGTATTGCTGTAGCATTGTGTTTGTTATTGGAATTATTACATTGTGTTGCAGAGTTCACCTTTCGCAGTGTGAAGGCCAACGCCATGTTTGAGACACGCTGTCTGCCATACCTGCATCTGGAGTGTCTGGATCTGAAGGAGGCTGGCTACGATGTCTAGTGATACACAGGAGACACCAACGTGTTGAATATGATGTCTAGTGATTTACAGGAGACAGTGACGTGTTGAATATGATGACTGGTGACATGTAGGAGACATCAGTGTACGTGTGAACTATGATGTCTGGTTATGTGTAAGAGACACCAATGTACGCGTGAACTATGATGTCTGGTGATGCGTAGGAGACATCAATGTACGTGTGAACTACGATGTCTGGTTATGTGTAAGAGACACCAATGTACGCGTGAACTATGATGTCTGGTGATGCGTAGGAGACATCAATGTACCTGTGAACTACGATGTCTGGTTATGTGTAAGAGACACCAATGTACGCGTGAACTACGATGTCTGGTGATGTGTAGGAGACATCAATGTACGTGTGAACTACGATGTCTGGTTATGTGTAGGAGACATCAATGTACGTGTGAACTACGATGTCTGGTGATGTGTAGGAGACATCAGTGTACGTGTGAACTATGATGTCTGGTGATGCGTAGGAGACATCAATGTACGTGTTAACTACAATGTCTGGTTATGTGTAAGAGACACCAATGTACGCGTGAACTACGATGTCTGGTGATGTGTAGATGACAACATGTCAGATACTGAACATGACAACATGACAGTCCAGACGTTGTTGATAACAATGTGATTTGTCTGACACATGGTGTCTGCCAGGGATAATGTTCGACATAGATTTGAAGATAAAAGTTAAAAGTTCACAAACACAAAATACAGCATATCCGGAAACCTTGACAACCAGTGCTATTTTAAATTTGTCATCTTTCCCTAATTGTCTTTTGTATATTTGTAAATACATTTATCAGTAAAATATATTTGTTGTTTTTCTTTTACAAAGCCGTTAGTTCATTTTCATTTTCAGTCACATGCTAATCGTATGCCTTTCCAATTTTCTTCGGAAGCTCAATCGATAATATACTACTCAAAAGAAGTTAAGGATCACCCGATTCTTTCATAATGGTAAAGTAAATCTGTCATGACATGAGAGATTAACTATAGTAATATGAAAGAATCAGGTGATCCTTAACTTCTTTTGAGTAGTATATATTTTGCAATTTTTTGTGTGATGATTTTATAATCTTCCCAAGGCAAGGGTGTTAAATGACTTCAAAAGTCCAGTTTCCACCCTTGCCGAACTAGGCTGGAATTTCTTGGCTCGATCGTAGTGACACCAGGGGCTGGTGTGAAGCAAATCCCTCTTTCTTCTTCCTATTCACCAATCCACTTCTCATATCACTTGCATTTGCTTCAAACAAAATGGTGGCACACAGTCCAGAAAGTCTGATCGATAATCAAAATCTATATTGTAATAAGTGGTTCTTACTTTGTGAAGTGCATCAAATCCAGTAAGAACAAGAAAAGATTTAGAAAATATCTCTTGACGGCATTAGTGCTTTGCAAATGCTGCAATCAACCGAAATCTGCACAACATTGATAACGGTCTCAGATATTGTCTCTGCCCATTTGGAAGAATCTATAATGTACGCAGATATCCTCCAAACAATTAGACAGGAAGAAAACTAATACAGTTAAAATTGTAATTTCAGAAAAGCCAAATTCCAAACACATGTATTCTATTTAATATTTATTTTCATTCTGTACTTTGTCTGAAAACCATTAGTACAAACGAGACCGACTGAAAGACGTTCCATCATAGGGCGTTATTCCTCATAAGTGAAATAAATGACGTCAACGATAATACATATAACTGTGGCTCCTTGTTAACTTGTTTACTTGAACCATATTGATAATAAAACTTTATTTAGGCTCATGCTAGCACTAATGATTGTCATGATTATGTTAATGAAACAAAACAAAAAATTATTTAGGCTCATACTAGCGCTAATGATTGTCATGAAGATGTTAATGAAATAAAAACAAATTATTTAGACTCATGCTAGCACTAATGATTGTCATGATGATGTTAATGAAATTATTTTAAAAAATTCTGTCTTTCAGAAATTACTGGAGTAGAGAGTTTTACAAACACTTCTGAATGCAAAGTATAAGTCCAGAGTGCATTACTAATAATTTCACTGATCAGAGTGCATTTCACTTACAAAACATTTGCCCATGCATATGACATATCTTTATGTGATCAGTCACAGCAAGTATATGCATTCATGTATCAACACATGAAACTATTGTATTTCTTGCTTTATTCAAGTGAAACGTATATACAGAAGCATTCTTATCAATACAAGCACACTGAGTCAGGAACTTACTCACACCATTGTTCAGGCTATATACATATATATATATATATGTTAGTCATTGTCCAATTTCAGTCAACAAATCAACAACAAAAAACTGTCACATTTTAAAGATTAACTGAATTTAAGACTTGGTGGAACACACATCAAAGAAAAGTATTATTCAAACAAAATTAACTAAACAACTTTCCTATACCGGTACATACCAATGTCTTGACGGAAGTTTTGAAAATAATTATGCCAATTTGATCCTATTACCGAAATGTGCACTACCATGATCACCAAGTGATTGGTCTTGTCTGGTACCACTGTTAGGCTTACTGCTGCTTCAAGTGCTTCCATAGTAATGTTGAGTAGGACTATAATAAACTGAACTGAATATTCCCTTTGGTTGTTAATTAACACATAACTTTTCATGCCAGGATATTTATTATTATATTTACAGATTTCTGTATACAAATATTGTCAGATAGACAAAGTTCTGGATATCTGGGGTCCGGATAAGCGAGGTTCCACTGTCTATAAACAAAGCTAACATGAACATGATGAAGAAAAGATTTTCAAAAAAAGACGTCTTCTATATTGAATACTGATACTAGATCAGATAATTTAGTCCGAATCAAGAAGACTGTGTCCAATTTAACTAATATAATAATACATGCAGAAATAACCTTCACCAACCCATCATGAAGACGACAATACAGGTCACCAGATTGCCAGGTAAATTATCTCTGAAAACTAAGGACCTCCATATCTTGACAATATGGTTTGACAACCCTAGATTACTTTATCCACGTAAATAGTAATTACAGGTAATTAGTCACCTGACTGACCTTCATATCAATCTGAACCTGTAACTGATATTTATAGTACATGTGGACAATATATGGGTAAGCATAGGTCACCTAGTGCAGACTGAGTAAAAGATTCAGAACTGAATTCGCATCAAGACTAAGTGAAACAGCATTAAGAGGATTCTGGTGAAAAGTAAACAGATGCATGCATGATGTGATGTGATGTTCATGCATATTTAGTGTTGGGTTTGTTCATGTAGAAACACTGATGGGAAGATTCCAGCACATTCAACTCTCTTCTTCTGTCCTTCATATATCAACAATTATTACTTTCAGAACTTATCAGACCAATCTAGTTTCTTGTTTTGTGTATTTTCTTGGTCTAAGAAGCTGAAGCCAAAATAAAACTGAAAAATGTTAATTTGAGCTAAATTTCCAAAATTCAATTATCATGATCATGATAATTTTGATATAACTTTCACAAAAAATGTCATGTTTTATATATGCTATCAAACAACATTTCTTTCTGTTTGTTTACATTTGCAACATTAAATTAGGCTCAATCATAAAACAAGAAACTATAACTAGGTCTGGTCGAATAATGAGATGATATATATCGAAAACATCTTCCTTCTGTTCCATCTTGCACCTATCAAATGCAATAAGCGGCCATGAACAACATGACATCTATCTGTCTCTGACATCATATTCTTGAATCGTTCATGGCTGCTTACAGAAGGAAGATTTTGGACATGGCTGTTGAATTTATCTGGATACCGAACACCTAGAAACAACATGTTCATGCTACACTGTCAGGACAACACCGCTGCCAGAGCATAGTCCAGGAGGCCCTGATTGTGTTAATGGCACCGCTGCCAGAGCATAGTCCAGGAGGCCCTGATTGTGTCAATGGCACCGCTGCCAGTACATTGTCCAGGAGGCCCTGATTGTGTCAATGGCACCGCTGCCAGAACATTGTCCAGGAGGCCCTGATTGTGTCAGGACAACACCGCTGCCAGAGCATAGTCCAGGAGGCCCTGATTGTGTCAATGGCACCGCTGCCAGATCATCGTCCAGGAGGCCCTGATTGTGTCAATGGCACCGCTGCCAGAACATCGTCCAGGAGGCCCTGATTGTGTCAATGGCACCGCTGCCAGAACATCGTCCAGGAGGCCCTGATTGTGTCAATGGCACCGCTGCCAAAATATCGTCCAGGAGGCCCTGATTGTGTCAATGGCACCGCTGCCAGAACATCGTCCAGGAGGCCCTGATTGTGTCAATGGCACCGCTGCCAGAACATCGTCCAGGAGGCCCTGATTGTGTCAATGGCACCGCTGCCAGAACATCGTCCAGTAGGCCCTGATTGTGTCGGGACAACACTGCTGCCAGAACATCGTCCAGGAGGCCCTGATTGTGTCAGGACAACACTGCTGCCAGTACATCATCCAGGAGGCCCTGATTGTGTCGGGACAACACCACGTCGAGAACATCACCCAGGTGGCCCTGATTGTGTCAATGGCACCACTGCAAGAACATCGTCCAGGAGGCCCTGATTGTGTCAATGGCACTGCTGCCAGAACACCGTCCAGGAGGCCCTGATTGTGTCAATAGCACCGCTGCCAGAACATTGTCCAGGAGGCCCTGATTGTGTCAGGACAACACCGCTGCCAGAGCATAGTCCAGGAGGCCCTGATTGTGTCAATGGCACCTCTGCCAGAACATCGTCCAGGAGGCCCTGATTGTGTCAATGGCACCGCTGCCAGAACATCGTCCAGGAGGCCCTGATTGTGTCAATGGCACCGCTTCCAGAACACCGTCCAGGAGGCCCTGATTGTGTCAATGGCAGCGCTGCCAGAACATCGTCCAGGAGGCCCTGATTGTGTCAATGGCACCGCTGCCAGTACATTGTCCAGGAGGCCCTGATTGTGTCAATGGCACCGCTGCCAGAACATCGTCAGGAGGCCCTGATTGTATCAATGGCACCGCTGCCAGTACATCATCCAGGAGGCCCTGATTGTGTCAATGGCACCGCTGCCAGTACATTGTCAAGGAGGCCCTGATTGTGTCAGGACAACACCGCTGCCAGAGCATAGTCCAGGAGGCCCTGATTGTGTCAATGGCACCGCTGCCAGAACATCGTCCAGGAGGCCCTGATTGTGTCAATGGCACTGCTGCCAGAACATCGTCCAGGAGGCCCTGATTGTGTCAATGGCACCGCTGCCAGTACATTGTCCAGGAGGCCCTGATTGTGTCAATGGCGTCGCTGCCAGTACATTGTCCAGGAGGCCCTGATTGTGTCAATGGCACCACTGCCAGAACATCGTCCAGGAGGCCCTGATTGTGTCAATGGCACCGCTGCCAGAACATCGTCCAGGAGGCCCTGATTGTGTCAATGGCACCGCTTCCAGAACACCGTCCAGGAGGCCCTGATTGTGTCAATGGCAGCGCTGCCAGAACATCGTCCAGGAGGCCCTGATTGTGTCAATGGCACCGCTGCCAGTACATTGTCCAGGAGGCCCTGATTGTGTCAATGGCACCGCTGCCAGAACATCGTCAGGAGGCCCTGATTGTATCAATGGCACCGCTGCCAGTACATCGTCCAGGAGGCCCTGATTGTGTCAATGGCACCGCTGCCAGTACATTGTCAAGGAGGCCCTGATTGTGTCAGGACAACACCGCTGCCAGAGCATAGTCCAGGAGGCCCTGATTGTGTCAATGGCACCTCTGCCAGAACATCGTCCAGGAGGCCCTGATTGTGTCAATGGCACCGCTGCCAGAACATCGTCCAGGAGGCCCTGATTGTGTCAATGGCACCGCTGCCAGAACATCGTCCAGGAGGCCCTGATTGTGTTGGGAAAAACTCCACTGCCAAAACATCCTCCAGGAGGCCCTGATTGTGTTTTGACAACAAAGCTGCCAGTGCATACATCCTCCACCCATGAATGCAGAAGACAGGACAGATGTGATACAATGGAACTTATGTGTTAAAACTTGTAATAGGAGCGAAGCAAATGTATTCTAGTAAACACATGTTCTGTCCATCTTCAGATCATCCCTGACATTAACACACACCCTGTTACCATGGAAACATGGGGAGGCTGTTATTCTATGAAAAAGCACAAATACCACTTTGTGCTAAGAAATGTAAACATAAATACATTTATAACTATTATCAAATGCTTTCAGAAAAGAAGTACCATTACAATAAAATTTGGATAACAGACATGCATGTCTTATCAGTATACTTACTGTGGTTTCAAGAAATTGAACTAAACTGACTGTCGTGATGTGAACATCAACACCATGGGAACTCAATGAGGTAGGAAGGAGGATGTCAGACATAGATCGAGTACCATCTTCCCGAGGCAGGGGCATTAGTTTCCATCCTTGCATAGCCAGGCTGGAATTCCCAGGCTCAATCATAGCACCACCAGTGGCTATTATGAGTTATGTCCTTCCTATTGACCAATCAGATTCAAAAAGGATCTTCCTCACGAAGTGCATCAAATCACTTGAGCACCTTGATTAAAAACATGAAAAGATTTGCAAAATATCTGTCAATGTCCAGTTGGCGGTACACATTACTTTGCAAATCCTTCAGTTGACCGAAATCTGCACGTTGAAATCCATGTTGTTTACAAACTGGGTGTCTGGTTCGTTATACCATGTATACTGGCTTGTTAGTCCAGCCAAAATGTAACTCTGCAATTCCAGCCTAGTTGGCAAGGATGAAAAATGGACTTTTATAATCCGTTAACTCCCTTGCCTGGGGGAGATGATCCAGTACAAGTCCAGTACAAGTCTAAGTTGTCATTAGAGCTAGTGTCTTCTGGGTGATGATCCCAAGCTAGTCTTGGTACTGAGTTGTACAGCTCTGTTCCCACCCAGCCAGCCATGGTCAACCAGCTCCAAACTAGCTGGACTGGCAGGGTAGGTCACGATATCGTGTACAAGTCAGGTAATTGTCAGTTTTACTCCGCCAGCCATGGTCATTCAGTTCCCAACCAGCTGGACCGACAGGGTAGGTCACAATATTGTGTACAAGTCAGGTAATTGTCAGTTTTACTCCCCCTCCTGCCAGTCGTGGTCATTCAGTTCCCAACTAGCTGGACTGGCAGGGTAGGTCACGATATCGTGTACAAGTCAGCTAATTGTCAGTTTTACTCCGCCAGCCGTGGTCATTCAGTTCCCAACTAGCTGGAGTGGCAGGGTGGGTCACGATATCGTGTACAAGTCAGGTAATTGTCAGTTTTACTCCGCCAGCCGTGGTCATTCAGTTCCCAACTAGCTGGAGTGGCAGGGTAGGTCACGATATCGTGTACAAGTCAGGTAATTGTCAGTTTTACTCTGCCAGCCATGGTCATTCAGTTCCCAACCAGCTGGACCGACAGGGTAGGTCACAAAATTGTGTACAAGTCAGGTAATTGTCAGTTTTACCCCGGGTTAAGTATTGGAAAATGGTTAGGACGGGCATGCACAATTAGTGAGTTGTGTGATCAAATTCTCAGATTTGTTTTGCTGAACGTGAAATTGGCTCAAGGTTACCATGGTTACAGGCTAGTGTGTTCAGTCATCATCCATGTTTTAACTTTTTATGAGAAATCGTCTAAACATGCTCAACATGCTCAAGAAACATTTTCTATTGTTCTAATCATTCAGTACACCATTGTGAACAACTATCACATGACTTTGTTATGGGCAGCTATAATACCAGTATCCAAGGTTAAATAAGTTCTCCAACACTGTGAAGAAGTGCCTTATACTCCTAGAAACAAAACTGACTAATAGGCTAGTTGATATGTCAAATATATCACAGGTTTCTTATAGATAGCATGGTTTCATTAAGATACCAATGTTTTTAGTATTCATATATACATTGGATACGCCTATATTTTCCCAATGTGAAAGTCCAAGCATCTGTGGGGGATGGTATAACACACTTCGTTGGTACCGTGTAATATACAAGGTTATTGTACAGAAGTACCTACAGAAATACCTTTGTACCACACCCCACCCATGCTGGTACACAGATGTTGATTTGATTGTTATAAGTTTGATCCATGGATATCATCCCAGTTATATATTAGGACATAGGATCACAGTTGTCAAAAACATGGCAGTCTCCAGCATATATGATAGTATTGGGTCACTGTGTTCAAATGTTGACCTCTGCACATCACAGAAGACCATGGTCTGGCTTTCAGTGTTCAGCTACTTTGACATCCAAGCACTAGTTAGTGGGTGAAGAGTGTATCTGTGGGAGTGTCATCCATCTCAGAAATAGTGTGTATTGGCACTATGTTCCTCTAAGGCAAAACAAACAATAAGTCCTTTGGAAGACCTCTTGCTTTGACCTACGTGAGATATGTCTTCACTGTTCCCATGATGGTCCTGTTACAAAGAACGCAATCATCAACTTTTTCTGCACATGATTCACACGTTACAAGATGGCCGCAGGGAAGGAACAGTGTGCAGACGTCCCTCTGGCGACAGACTCGACACAGCCTCTGCTCACGAAGACGTTTATTCTCTGACAACAGGGGAGCATTCTTTACCTTAGACTTTGGAGACTTTGGTGGTTTTATTCCAGAATCAGAGTTGACCATTTCCTTGACAGGGGATGACACAGGACCTTCGTCTCTGAAGGAACTCTGACAATTTGAAACAATGAATGGAATTTTGGTGGTTAATTTCTCTTCATTATTAGACTTGTCATTGCCCAGAGTTAGGATACAGTCTACAAGCTCAGAGGTATTCTCACAGGACCTCCCATGTCTCCTCAAAAACACATCCTTCGCCCTACGGATCTTATCAGCGGGGAACCCCATTTCCCTCACCTCCAGCTCAACATCATCAAAGCTGCCATCTGTACCTGGCAGACCACTACAATCACCTTGAAGGTCAAGGTTACCAAGTGAAGCACTGGCAACAGCATCAATGTCAAGGTCAGAAGTTACCCTTCGGGCAACTCCAAGTTGGTTCAAGTCAGGTGTACTGATGAACTCACAATTGGGAGAGTACTCCCGGTGCTCTGTCATAGGGTCGTGACCTACATCCCAGTCCCTCAAGGTTATTCCACACTGGAAACACGTGACTCTGTCGGCTGAGCCGATGTAGTAGAACCCTGCAGCCACAAGATTCTCTGGGGACTGAGGAACATACGCTGTCGGCCAAGACGTGAAGGAATCAAGCCTAGCAGCAGCCTCCCTGTACTCGGGATGCTTGGGGGGTGTCCTGGGGCCAGTGTTGGACAGTTTGCTGATGGAGGGGCAGTTAGGTTTGGACCTGAGGTGCTCCTGCAGGACATTGTCCAGCTGGCCAGTCAGATGCAGCTGAAGACCACAGTGGCTGCATTCGACCCTGTCTGGAGCTGGATGTGGAAAAGAGATGATTAAGCTTGAGTATTCCATAACAATACTATAAATAAGTACTCTGTGATAGATGTTATGATGACAAAAATCTCAAAGTGGAAAAAAACAGTGTATTTGAAAAATTTGTAGCCATCAGAAAGATCTGACAAGAAGTGGTCGGATAACGACTTTTTGATACATGATGTGAGCAAAAGGTAGTCGCCAAAGGGTAATAGGTAACCTCATGATTCAGTGCATGGTGACACTACAATTTTGGGGGAATGAGTTCAAATTTTGAAAATGCAATCAATGATTTGCAAATAATATGCTGTAAAGGTGTTAGAAAACTAGATATATTTAGAGCACTCTTTCTTGTTATCTATTATCAGCAGTTAATGTAACCATGACATAACATGTCTAAGTGACATAACAATTCCTGACATCAGTACAATGTGTGAAGCTCATTTCTGGTGTCCCCCTTTGTGATATTGCAGAAATATTGCTAAAAGCAGCGTAAAACCATACTCACTCACTAAGTGACATAATAAAACAAGTGATAGTTTTGGGGTTATTTTATATTCAGGGCTTCTGCGCACTGGGGATCTTGTTTCTTTGGCATGCCCATTTAGCCCAACACTTACTGACTGGTCCATTATTGTAAGGGGGATTGGGGATGTATGTAACATTTTTTCATGACGTCTAAAAAATGTTCAAATTTTCAAGCTTGACTATTTAAAGTAATGGAACTGTACGTGTCTTTTGATGCAGCCAACCCCACCCCACCCCATAAATTTTGGCGATCTCTGCCCAAACCCCTCTCACCTTCCCACTATCGTTTTTTTCTCGACCAATAGTAAAATCTACATAAAGGGATGGTGAAAGCTAACTTAGAGTGTACAGTATGGTACCACTACATGTGTTTTTGAATTTGGTATTTAGATCAACTGTTTTTACACCTGTAAATCACCTGTTCCAAAATTTGAAAAAGTGTGGAAAACAAGAAATAATTCTCATGCCATTATGGGACTCTCATATGGTTCACTCACCCTCACCTGCAACTAATCAATGGTCTAAACATATTTTCATTTCAGAAATGTAATCAGTCTTGTACACCGGTCCTACACCAGATGTAGCTATATATATATATATAGACCTCACGTATACCTCATACAGATAAAATGAGGTCATGTGACGTGAGGTTTAACATTATCCTACAAACGGTATAGAATTTGCCAGTACATTGTGTTGACTGTGAATTGTACTTTAACCAGATAGTTTAATTAAAAGCCTTAGCATAACCATCTACGCATACAATACACATTAGAAAGCTAAAGACACAAAACACATGCCAGTATTTATATTTTCTGTCCATGAGGACGGAATTTCATATCAGAATACTGTAGAAGACCTCGGGGTCATGAATAAATATTAGAGAGGTCGATAAGCAGTATCATATGCCTTTATATAGGAATAAAGTTACGTATAAAACTTTGCATTTATCGCAATAAGCTGAGACATATATACATACAATGCATTCTAAAAAATGAGATTTTAAATAAATTTACAACAGACTATCGAGTGTATAAAAACATGACAAATGTTTTCCGTCGTGGACTCGACGTGATACTAGCTGTTGTTGTTTTTCTTTTCTTTACGTAAGTGCCTCGGTTTAATCAAATCGATTGCTGGGCATATATATACAAGTATCACACGGCATAACATTCCACAAATAAAAGGCGAACAATTAATTTGTTTCAGTTGTCTCACCTGTGTAAGAAAACCCAGCCTGGGCAAGTACGCGGTTTTCCTTGATATTTGGCTTGGAGGCAAATGTTTCCAACCTTCCCTTGAAGCTGTCGCTCTCGGGAACTGTTGTACTATACCCAGGCAGATCACCCAGGACATTCCCGCTATGTCCGTCCGTCTGTATTTCCCCATGTTCCATTATGTAGTTTAACTCGCAGTGAGAAGCATGTCGGTCGGTTCCCAACTTCTCTGCGTCGTGTTATCTTCTAAACATCTGCGCATACTCACAACGAACCCGACACAGACCTCTGTCTCAAGCTCACTCACAGCGCGTGACACCTTCGTTACACTCTCGGTGTAGATAGCTCCGCGAACGGGCTATCGCTATGAGGAGCTCGGGTCTTTCTTTGGGAATGGGTTTTCCCCATCTATATTAAGCATGTTAAGTGCAACGTTAGGGTTTTCCCCACACAGGATCTCTACTCGTTATTGGTCAGTAAATAAAAATATATATCCAACAATATATAAGTGGAGAACTTATTTATAGGGGGTATATATTTTTATTTAATGACCAATAAGTAGAGAACTTAGAGGGTATGGGGGTAGTTCACATGGGGTATATATTTGGCATTTACTGCCCAATAACGAGCTCCTGTGGTTTTCCTGTCACATTGTATTGGTCAAAGTATAATAAGCGCCCCGTGTGAGTGTTTGCCAGGGTTTTCGTCAAGTACGAAAGTGTGGATATTTTGGTCATCGAATGGTGAAGTTAATTCATTATTTGATTTGACTTTGTTACACCAGTTGGGGGTTTCTAATTTCTTCGTTGTCTTGCGTATTTTGTAAAGTTTAAAACTTTACATTTGAGTAGGACAGCTTTGTAGGAGTAGACTTGGGATTTGCAACATCAAAACAAATATTGATGGCTGCAACACATTAATAATTAGAAAAGTGACAAACAGAAACTTTGAACAATAAATCGGGGTAAATGGCCCCAGACAATTTGGTGAAAATGGCCCCAAATGTTAGTGAAAATGGATATACCTTTTGGAGTACCTTCGAAGTGCCACTCCAACTCAAACTGGATGACCATTCCTGACAAGAGTCACAGGATAAAGCCTGTTAATTAATTTTGTACTGTTGTCTCCGACACCAACGTAGCCTCTTCCACACTTCTTCCACACTTGACCCGTGAAGATCCAGGGTAGAATAAGTCTTCAGCAACCCATGCTTGCCGTAAAAGGCGGCTATGCTTGCGTAAGAGGCGACTAACGGGATCGGGTGGTCAGGCTCGCTGACTTGGTTGATGCATGTCATCGATCCCAATTGCGTGGATCGAAGCTCATGATATTAATAACTGTATTGTCTGGTCCAGACTCGATTATTTACAGACCGCCGTCTTATAGCCTTAAACAATAAACCAACCAACTAACCAACCAATCTTCCACACTTTTATTCTAATAGTACTTTTTGCTTCAGCTCTTTGGCAATATCATGTATTTTATTAAGATCTTGGGAGAAGTCTGCGCATAAAGACCCCATTTGTTTTGTGATCTTTTATTCTGTTGTGTCTTCGACTCTGACAGTCTTTTCTGTTCGAAATTAGCCTTGGGTGGGTTGAATTGAGGCTGTTTTTGTTTAAGCATGCCTTGGGCCCAGAGAGCACTTATATCGATTTTTTTTCTTTGTTTTAAGTTCCAGAGAACGTGAATCTGTCATGAGGACGGTCAGATACATTAACTGTGGCTTGACTATAAGTCATGTTGGCTCTTTTTTTAGACAGATTTTCTGGTGACCAGAGTGAAGGGATGCCCTTCCTTTGGGTTTGGCTTACCCTTTCGAGAACTGGGCTGGCTCTCTTGAGAGTTCGGCGGAATCTGAACAATTGTAATTTCTGGACGTAAGTCCGCTTTCTCCTTCTCCGAGTGACAGTGACAATACTTACTACTACTTATTACCCGTGAAGATCCGGGTAGAGAATAGATCTTCAGCAACTCAGGCGACGACTATGCTTGTCATAAGAGGCAACTAACGGGATCGGGTGGTCAGCCTTGGTTGATGCAAGTCATCGTATCCCAAATGCCTAGATCGATGCTCATGGTGTCAACCACTGGATTGACTGGTCCAAACTCGATTATTTACAGACCGCTTCATATAGCTGGAATATTGCTGTGTGTAGTGTTAATCAACAAACAAACAATCTACAGTCAAGTCTCGTTAATCCGACATCGTTGGTTGCACATGATTGTGTCGGATTAACGAGTATGTCGGATAAACGAAATTAAGTGAGTTTAATAGATAGTTTAATTAATAGAGACATTACTCACTGAATTATCACATGATCAACGACACACGTTTCCTCGTGTAAATGCAAGTGCTACTGTCTTAACAACTTGCTTCATCTACTTAAAATAGTCTGTCAGTGTTTTCTGTTTCTAACATTTTGAAGGCACATTTCTCAAAGTCCCCTGCTCGTTTGACGTCTAGGGCTTGTGGTTCTTCAGCATCAACATTGTCGAGGTGTAATTTCATTTGCTGTTTCTTATAATAAAGCTTACTACTAATTTAAAACATTGTAAAAAATAACAATAATGTCATGTGGGAGACAAGGGTCTCATGTAACAATTGTATCAACTATGTAAGTTTTATTTGGGGCAATTGTCGTAGTCATTTGCTCCAAAATTTGAGACCATTTTCAGATTATGGGAGTGCGCAAATGAATGAGTTCAACAAGGAAGCCGCAAGCTTGGGATATGCAAAAGTTAATAAACAGTGAAGGGCCACTAAGGTTGTATAACGCAATATTGAGAAGGCAGTCTTGTGTAGGTTAACAGTACCGCCCACGCGGAGTGAGTGAGTGAGTTTGGTTTTACGCCGCTTTTAGCAATATTCCAACAATATCACGGCGGGGGTCACCAGAAAGGGCTTCACACATTGTACCCATGTCGGGAATCGAACCCGGGTCTTCGGCGTGACGAGCGAACGCTTTAACCACTAGGCTATCCGACCGCCCCCTCCGCCCACGTGGAAGCATGTTACACACGGAACCGCAAACACGGAGAAATCAAAAGTGGATTGTGGATTGTGTTTAATACTTCTTTTCATTAACACTTATTTATCATTATTTCAACAACCCTTTGAACATCTAACCACATTCTGACCCCCGTTTGGGGGTAACAAGGCCTTGCACTCTGGCTGAAAAAACAGCCGCCATGACTCTGTAAATGATCATTCTTTCAAATTTGATATTAACATATTCATCACTTAATGATCTATTAAAATGTCATTTATTGTGGTATCTGAGAAAACGTATCCCCATTTGCGCTACTGTAGTGTAAACAATGTTTACAAGATGAAATAGGGCCATATCTCTGTAAAATATACATTTTTGAAGATGTTTTTTTTAAATTTATCAAAATGTATATTCCTAAATGATTTTTTAAAAATCATCCTTGCTTCCAGCACCAAGAACAAATCTTTTCATATTGGCATTTTGAGTATATACAGCGCGAATTGACCGCACTACACGACATCATAATTTGGCACAAACAAACTTGTAATTTTTGTTGTTTGTTTGTTTGTTTGCTTGTTGTTTAAGGCCTCACTCAGCGGTCTATAAATAATCACGACCAGACATCCCAGCGACTGACAGCATGAGCATCGATCCACGTAATTGGATACGACGACATGCATCAACCAAGTCAGCGAGTCTGACCACCCGATCCTGTTAGACGTCTCCTGTGGGTTGCTGAAGATCATTTCTAACCCGGATCTTCACGGGCAACCTGTAAATAATTAACTGCATTGTGTTGTATGTGCGAGTATAAGAAATATAAGCATGTGCAACACTTAGGTATTTAACATTAATCAATATAACAAATCTACCTTTAGAATATGTTTCAGTATATGTTTATCTGTTTACCAAACCTAAGGCACAGAGAACAATGGGGAGTCGGACAATTGATACTTGAGATGCAAGCTAGACATTTTGAAAGCGAGGTCCGCATATTTGCCATATTTTTAATCAATCTTGTGAATCACATTAGTGTCAAAAGGGACAGTAAATTAAATAATATAAATGATTTTATTGGATTTATCAAAAAGGACAAGATCAGGTTTCTTGGCCTGGATAGGTCGGAAGCTGTATACGGGCCTATTCCAACAATTTTGTATTTTTGTATCATTTTCCATGACGCCCTCTATATATTCTGGGTCGCAAAGAAAACACAAGTATGGCGAAGACGGTAATATAAGTATCAAGCCAAGCCATCATGTCGCCTAAGATACTGTATCTGTGCCAAAGCTGGACATACACTGACAGTATGGTGGGCAGTCTCATTAAATTCATTGCACAATCTCCATTTCATATTACATTTTGATGCAAAATCTTTCATTGACTTTTCAGACCAGTCGTCTCACTTTTCAGGCCAGCCGACTTCATCCAAGCGAAGGACTCTGTGGGGCTGCCGATCTTCCCAACACACTGCACGTTAACTCGATGCAGTGGTCGTTCAGATAGCTTCTCCCTGAGAAACTTAGTCTGGGCCGATTTGATATGAAACTTCGCTCTTTGACACTTATATCTGTACCCAGCAGTAATGAACCATCAACAAAATCAAAATTGAGAGTATGTCCCGCATCTTTGGCACGTTATATAAAACTGTGTAATGCCTTGTTGTCATCATGTCTGGACTCGAGCGTTTTACAAATTGCAGCGCCATCTGGCCTTCTTTATCTTTAGTGTCCTTTTTGTGCACTGACGTTCTTGAGTCCACATTGTTCTTTCTTTACTTTTGACGTCTTTTGTTTGCGAGGTGTTCATTGGTATCATTTTGTATGTTGAATTCATCATTTGTATGTAAACAATTACTTTTATTTGAAACATTCATTCATTATTCATTACATTTGACGTACTTTTGTCGTATATTTCAACTTGGTATTTTTTGCCCGAATGGCCTCCTATACACAAGGTTGACTTCTGTTTCGGCAGGTAATCGTGACTGGTTGTTCTGTGCCTGGCGTTGCTGTCTTATAGAGAACTATTTATCGAGGACTAGCTAATCATTCCCTCACTAACCATGCAGATTTATAATATATTTCTAATGAACGTATTCTTATACATGAAAGAATAAGCACATGCGCGATATCTGAACAATGCATACCTTTAAGTACTTTCTTAATTACACGTTTTTACGTCTCCGTAAAATCTAATTTTGAAGGCGCTTTTTTGTCCTAAAGGCTTACTATTGACATTTAACGATGTACCGTCCGCATGCAAATAAACAATGTTTGTTATCATGCGCATATTACAGAATGAGATATAGGCATCGTTCAGTGATTGTGGTTGAGGGAAGTTGTATGCTGTGCAATGTTACAGCCACTGTGCAATGTTACAGCCATAATACTGAATGCGAAGCCATTAACGTATGGGAAAACCCAGAACGCATCTGCCCAGTTGTTAAACTATCATAGCCTCATTACTGAAGAAAAACTGGAAAAAAACAAAACTATACTATATATAGCGCCACGTCATATAACGCTTATACAAATGGGACACTGGGATTTTCGAATGTACGAGGAAGCGAAAGGCAACGCGACTTTGTGACAATCCGGTAACGTTATGTGGCCTGCATCTCCAACATAAATGTGACAGGATCCGATAATTGTATATATTTTCAGAGTTTTATTAGTTTAGATTTTTACTGAATTAAATATTCAGTCAAATATGTTTTAAACATGATATACTTCACACTTCAGCTCTCCTAATTCTCTGTTTCAGCTTACTGCATGAGTACTTTGCCACAGCCTCAATCACCTAGTGCACTATCACACAATAGCCTGCCCAAGCGCGCCCCTCAAAGCCCCTTTGTGTTTCAGGTTCTAGCTTACTGTCTCCAGTTTTAAAGGGTTTAGTTTTACTACAGTTTAGAGCACATTTGATGTTACTGTCAAACACACGTATATCATTGGAATTCACAATTTGGACAATTTGGACTAATTGTGGTGTTTGATCTATTGGACATTTTGGAATTCACTTCTAAAGGTTGGTCTTTTGATGATATTTTATTGTTTGTGCGTATTCCTAGGATTTGTAGGTATATTGTGTTTATGCTCTTGATAATTTGGCTGTTTTGGTCATGTTGTAAATATTCGCCAGATCATAGTAATTAGTTGTATTTCTGTATGCATTACAAGTGTTATTATTTACGTAAGGTAAATAATTCAGTAAGTGCTAAGTTTAGGCTTAAAATACTATTTAACTAAATCTTCAATCACTGTGAAGCTGATGTATGAAAGTATGAAGTATGAAAGTAAGAATGTGAAACATATATGTTGCTAGGTAACATATTGGTATAAATGAATGTGTAATGTATGAATGTATAATGTATGAATGAATCAGGGTTTTACTATTATATTTTAGAATTGTTTTAAGTTACTCTGCAATAACACTATGTTTCGGTTTGTAGTAATATTGCTGCTATCAGATTGGTCTGCACAGTGTGTATATATATTCATTTATTTGTCGTGCAGATGTAGCTGTAATACTTGTGCAGAGGTCTGTGTCTGGACTGATGAACCCAGGTCCACACACTTGGTGGGTTTACTAGGTTTTATATATATTCTCATGTATTGCATATTGTATGTACACATAGTAAATGTATCATGTCACGTCTATCTTACTCTATTTATATGATACACATATATAAGTATATATGCGGGTTAAGTAGGTTTATAATATAAGATTAATTAAGTTTTTGATGAGATGTAAGTTTATCAATTAGTAGTTATAGCATTTTGTATATATCATCAAATGTAATGAAATATTTGATGTCAGCATATGTTTATATTTTGTGTAATGAATGTTTTACAATTGTTTCAGGGTTCAAAACATTTATCAGTAATAAACTTGGCTATAATTCGAACAACACCTGCGTCTGTCCTTCATGTCAAGAAGCAGTCCCGGTTTCAATGGAGCCCCCAGTGAGGATTCTTTAGTACACTGGACATGAAGTCAGGATATCATCAAGTCGAAATTGAGGAATTGCACAAGGAAACGACAGCTTTCACCGTAGGTCCTTTGGGGTTCTTCGAATACAACCGTATGCCGTTCGGTCTCTGCAACAGCCCTGCAACGTATCAACGGGTGATGAACGAATGCTTCGAAGGACTCCACCTCAAGATTTGCCTTATTTACATGGATGATATCATCGTCTTTTCCAGCTCATTTGAAGAACATTTAGAACGGCTTACCCAAGTACTGCAACGATCCAGAGAGACAGGAATGAAGCTCAGTGCCGACAAGTGTTCTTTCTTCAAGAACAAGATCAAGTTTCTTGGACACATTGTGTCTGAAGATGGTATCGAGACAGATCCGGACAAGATACAGAGGATTTTGGACTGGCCTACACCTGCAAACCCAGATGAGATACGGAAGTTTCTTGGATTTGCAGGTTATTACAGGAAATTTGTCAAGGACTTCGCCAAGATTTCCAAGCCTCTATCAGCTTTGATGCCAGCCACAAAGACCAAGACACGAGGAAGGAACCATCCAGCTAACAAGCCAGACAAGCCATGGCAATGGGGACCACAACAGGAAACTGCGTTCAAGACAATCAAGACATGTTTATCAACACAGCCAGTTCTTGGGTATGCGGATTACACCAAGCCATTCGAAGTCCACACTGATGCAAGTAGCCAAGGACTGGGAGCTGTCTTGTACCAAGAACAGAATGGATTGAAGAAGGTCATCAGTTATGCAAGCCGTGGACTGAGCAAGGCAGAGAGCAACTATTCAGCTCACCGTCTCGAATTTCTAGCTTTGAAATGGGCGGTGACTGAAAAGTTCAAGGATTATCTGTATGGCAATACTTTCAGTGTATATACAGATAATAACCCTCTGACCTATGTACTCAGTTCTGCAAAGTTGGATGCTACAGGTCACCGCTGGCTAGCGGCCTTGTCAGCATACAACTTTGATATAATCTACAGGCCAGGGCTCAACAACGCAGACGCTGATGGACTCTCCAGGCTGCCTGGAATAGAAGCTGAAAGACAACAGATAACATCAGAGTCAATAAGAGCTGTTTGTCACACTTTGCAGGAACATCCTTTGGTACACAGCCTCTGTTGTTCAGCAGCACCAGATTTAGAAAGCCTAGAAGATCATGGAGAGAACCTTAAAGTGATGACAGACAGGGACTGGAGAAAGGCACAAGCTGCAGATGTCATTCTTAGGCCATGGATTAACTTGGTGAGAAGTAACAGGAAGCCAAGACGACAGGATTATCCCCCTTGTCAAGCCAATACCTCCATGCATAGGAACTTTGACAGCATGTTTCTTCAAGAAGGAATCCTTTACAGGAAAGTTAATATTAACGGCCAAGAACGACATCAGCGTGTTTTACCATCAGCCTTGATTGAGGATATGCTCAGAGGACTTCATGATGAAGTGGGACATCCTGGAAGAGAGAGGACACTGTCACTCCTAAGAGATCGGTTCTTTTGGCCAGGCATGACCAACGACGTGGAAGATTGGATCCAAAGATGTGACAGATGTTTGAGAAGGAAATCCCCCGCCAATGCACGTGCTCCTCTGGTCAACATCATCACCACACAGCCCTTAGAGCTCGTCTGTCTGGATTTTCTAACCTTGGAAGCATCAAAGGGAGGTCACCAGAATATTCTAGTCATCACAGACCACTTTACGAGGTATGCACAAGCAATCCCAACAAGGAATCAGACTGCAAAAACAACAGCAGAAGCCTTCTACAAGAACTTTATAATGCACTATGGGATTCCAAAGCGCATCCATAGTGATCAAGGCACCAACTTTGAGAGCCGCCTTATGAAGGAATTGTGCAGCCTCTTGGGAATGGAGAAAAGCCGGACAACATCCTATCACCCTATGGGCAATGGTATGGTTGAACGCTTCAACCGGACACTGCTTAATATGTTGGGAACACTCCAACCAGACCAGAAAGCAGATTGGAAGACCTATGTAGCTCCCCTTGTCCACGCCTATAACAGCATCCGGCATGAATCAACAAACCAGTCTCCATTCTTCCTTATGTTTGGTCGTGAACCTCGTCTGCCTGTAGATCTTGCTTTTGGGATCGAGACCAACAAGAATCATCAGTCTCTGACAGCTTATGCAAAGTCTCTGAAGAAGAAGCTCCAAGAAGCCTATGACCTGGCGTCAAAGGCATCAAAGACTGCCCAAGTCAAACAGAAAGCCAGCTACGACTTGAAGACTAGAGGGGCCACTGTACAGACAGGTGATCGAGTTCTGGTGAAAGCCTTAGCCTTTGATGGTAAGCACAAGTTGGCAGATCGCTGGGAGGAAGATCCTTATGTTGTTCTCTTGCAACCAAACCAGGATATCCCTGTGTTTGTAGTGCAGAAAGAATCTGGTGAAGGGAGGAAGAGGACGTTGCACAGAAACCATCTCCTGCCCATTGGATCAGTACCAGCGATCATGGATAACAGAGTACCAGCAGCCAAGAAGCCAACTCCAAGACCAAGAAAGACAGTGAAGAAGACTATAGAAGAGGATATCCAGGAGGATAAAGAGTCTGACTATGATGCTCCATTCTATTTTCCAGCAGTTGCTGAGGATGCTACCATCATCAGTGAAGACACTGTGGAAGAGAGTGCGGCTACTTCAGAGACAACAGGTGACGATCTACAGTCTCTTGGAGTAGCAGGTGATGCTTCTGGTGGTGACGACCACATACCTGAAGAAGACAGCAGCACAGAAGCAGATCCTGAAGCAGTGCAACCACCAGAAAACACTGAAGAGGAGCCGGAAGACTCAGTCAGAGAAGAGCTACCTCCTCCTGTACCACCTGATACTAATCCCCAACCCATACCTGCACCAAGAAGAACTGGTAGACTAACAAGGAAGCCTGCCTGGCAAACCTCCGGAGATTATGTGATGTGCCAGACTTCTGACCCAGATTGGCAGCAGAGGAGTCGACGCCTGGAACAACTGGCAGCGACCGGCATTTTAGGACACATCAGCACCAGCATCTCCAAGGCATTGCTTTCCCTTGTTGACGAAGAACCGGAATGACGAGGACGCCATTATTCAAGGGAGAGAAGTATGTGACAGGATCCGATAATTGTATATATTTTCAGAGTTTTATTAGTTTAGATTTTTACTGAATTAAATATTCAGTCAAATATGTTTTAAACATGATATACTTCACACTTCAGCTCTCCTAATTCTCTGTTTCAGCTTACTGCATGAGTACTTTGCCACAGCCTCAATCACCTAGTGCACTATCACACAATAGCCTGCCCAAGCGCGCCCCTCAAAGCCCCTTTGTGTTTCAGGTTCTAGCTTACTGTCTCCAGTTTTAAAGGGTTTAGTTTTACTACAGTTTAGAGCACATTTGATGTTACTGTCAAACACACGTATATCATTGGAATTCACAATTTGGACAATTTGGACTAATTGTGGTGTTTGATCTATTGGACATTTTGGAATTCACTTCTAAAGGTTGGTCTTTTGATGATATTTTATTGTTTGTGCGTATTCCTAGGATTTGTAGGTATATTGTGTTTATGCTCTTGATAATTTGGCTGTTTTGGTCATGTTGTAAATATTCGCCAGATCATAGTAATTAGTTGTATTTCTGTATGCATTACAAGTGTTATTATTTACGTAAGGTAAATAATTCAGTAAGTGCTAAGTTTAGGCTTAAAATACTATTTAACTAAATCTTCAATCACTGTGAAGCTGATGTATGAAAGTATGAAGTATGAAAGTAAGAATGTGAAACATATATGTTGCTAGGTAACATATTGGTATAAATGAATGTGTAATGTATGAATGTATAATGTATGAATGAATCAGGGTTTTACTATTATATTTTAGAATTGTTTTAAGTTACTCTGCAATAACACTATGTTTCGGTTTGTAGTAATATTGCTGCTATCAGATTGGTCTGCACAGTGTGTATATATATTCATTTATTTGTCGTGCAGATGTAGCTGTAATACTTGTGCAGAGGTCTGTGTCTGGACTGATGAACCCAGGTCCACACACTTGGTGGGTTTACTAGGTTTTATATATATTCTCATGTATTGCATATTGTATGTACACATAGTAAATGTATCATGTCACGTCTATCTTACTCTATTTATATGATACACATATATAAGTATATATGCGGGTTAAGTAGGTTTATAATATAAGATTAATTAAGTTTTTGATGAGATGTAAGTTTATCAATTAGTAGTTATAGCATTTTGTATATATCATCAAATGTAATGAAATATTTGATGTCAGCATATGTTTATATTTTGTGTAATGAATGTTTTACAATTGTTTCAGGGTTCAAAACATTTATCAGTAATAAACTTGGCTATAATTCGAACAACACCTGCGTCTGTCCTTCATGTCAAGAAGCAGTCCCGGTTTCATAAACAACCTTAAACCATAGCTCCTTGTCCATTAACTAACTGTATTGTTATCATACAACAGCTAAAAACCGACGCTGAGTCAGACCAGAGCACGGCTAGACCAGTTGGCAGTGACGGGACATCTTTTTTTCACCTATCAGTTTCCTTGATGATCATAGTACGGGCTTAGTGTAAAAATATGGACTTGAATTTGGATTGGAATACTGCAATGGAATTTGGAATGAGATAAAATGGAATATATCCCACAATGAAAATAAACCTTGTGTTGTACATACCCTTATTGATATAATTACCGGAAATGTATTGACAGTACAAGTAAACAATCTCCCCAACTGCAGTAGAGACTTCAGTAAGAGTTGTGATAATAGATACTAGTCATTATGCATTGCGTTTTTTGGATGATGATAAACATGATGCAAACAAAAATAATAAACCAGAATATATATTATGTTCTTCACGTGGTTTTCTTTTCATTAGACTATCTAAAGTCATTCCACTGATCTTCTGTGTTGTATATTAACATCTAGATATGTCCCTTCTCCCTCAGTACTGGTGTGGGGAATGGCAGAGGAGAGAAGCTGACGCCACGATCCTTAGCTAATCTGCCATACCTCGGTGACATCTGTTTATAAACTGTCTTAGCAAGTTAGACTGGAGACCTGTTTGTAAATAGGGTATGTTCCATTTGTCTCGTTCCGGATTCCATTCCCTACTTTACACAGTGCCCACGTAGAAGGCTGGTGTTGTCTTCTGCCACAGCTACATGGAAGACTGTACATTTACTGACATCAGGACTCATAGTTTATCCGTATATAAACAGTGAAATATGTGTTTTATGCATTGTGTGCACGTGATTCGGTCCAATAGGAATCTTTCCCCGGAAAGACCGCCTCCGTGGTCTTGTTGTAGAGCGTCCGCCCGGAGAGCGGAAGGTCCAGGGTTCGATCCCGGTCCGCGTCATACAAAAAGACGTTAAAAGATTGTACTTGTTGTTACCCTGTCTGGCGCTCGGCATTAAGGGGCTAAAACAAGGACTGGTCGGCTCGGAGTCAGTATACTGTGTCTGAGTGGGGTATTCATGTTAAACTGCGGCATGGTATCTCAGTGAGCTAGCACTATAAATCGGCATCAGTCCGGACTAGTACAAGCAGCCACACACACACATACACGTGCATGCACGTCGCTATATAAGTGCAATAATCTTGGACGCGACGTTAAACCCAATTTCACCTCACCTCACCTTTCCCCGGAACATGCATAACATAATCGGAGTTGCCAAAGAGCGACACCCCCCACCCCCCACCCACCCCTCTACGGCAGCCCTCATGTAATACTAAGTTAATCTCTCTCTCTCTCTCTCTCTCCGCCAGGCCTCATGTAATACTGTGTTAATCTCTCTCTCTCTCTATCTCTCTCCCTCCTTGCCTCACCCTCTCTCTCTCCCTGATGAAATGTAAAACATTACAGATTCTCATAAAAAGTAGTTTATTGCACTCCTTATTCAGAAGGGTATGATGTCATGCGGATACATGCAATTCACAATGATGATGTGATTATGGTTATCATAAGATTCTGTCACTCAATAATTCTTGATTTAGTCTAGAATCGTGTGAAGATTCTTGAATGTATTATTACATCTGTCAGTACACCTGCAGATGTCATTTCAATCGTAATGATGCTGTGTACAGTTTTGATATGGATGCCATTTCAAGCAACACGCGCACGTGTAGTAATATCACAGGTAGCTGACGAAGGCAAATTGTTCATCTTTGTGGGATGTTGTCTTCAACATACCGACGGACGGCAAGACGTTCATAATATCACAGAAGGGATAGTTTATACTGGAGCATTGAAACACATATACCCGGTCAGAGTACACAACGTTCCACTGATCAAATAATGAAGGTTTTCACTGTTCCAAGAATAGTCTTCCCGCACATCACACATTCATGGACCTTTTCTGCGCAGTCTGAGCACGTGACGAGATGACCACAGGGCAGGAAGAGGATGGATACAGCGTTGTTTTTGCACACTCTGCACGTGGATTGTTCCTTGAGACGTCTGTTCTCGGCCTTCAGAAGCTTCAGTTTCTTGCTCAGGGCTTTAGGTTTACAGATTTGAGACACCTCTTTCTGACTTTCATGAGAGCGTGTGATGTCTGATGTAGTCTCCATGTCCATGGGAGATCCACAGGGCATCTCCCTATCACACACCTCGATTGATAGAGTCTGTAGATTTTCACAGAGAGCTGATGTGTCCACGGAGTCATCACTCCCTCCCACGACTAGACATGGGTCTGCCATAGCAGAATCGTTAGGATCCACTGAAGCCGCACAAGCACCGCCACCAAGGTGAAGGTCATTAGTTTGCGTGATATGAAGGTCAACGTTTGAGTTAGCATTCTCATCAACTGCCATAGATGAATGTCCACTCTCCTCTTGGACCTTTTTATCACCACCAAGTAACTCACATGACTGTAATTTTGAGAATTCACAGTCGGAGGCATACCTCTTGTGTTCTGCAACAGGGCTGTGTTCTGCTTCCCAGTCTCTCAAGGTTATTCCACAATGAAAACACGTGACCCGGTCAGCTGACCCGATGTAAAAGAACCCGGCTGATGCCAGCTCCTCGGGTGTTTTCGGGACATACCGTATAGGCCAGGCAACAAAAGAATCTAGACGTGAGCTGTATGTTTGGTACTGCGGGTGTTTTGGAGCAACTGTAGAAAGTTGTTTCATGTTTTCTGTGTGGATATTCGACTTGACCTCTAAGGGGTTAAACGATGACGTGGTGACGTTTTTGGACATACTCGATGGTTGATACCCTGAAACAAATAAATAAACGTAACATGACAATAAACTTTCAATAATCATCACAATAACATGTATGCAATTTTATGAAGAGGCGGGCGGTCGGGTAGCCTAGTGGTTAAAGCGTTCGCACGTCACGCCGAAGACCCGGGTTCGATTCCCGACATGGGTACAATGTGTGAAGCCCATTTCTGGTGTCCCCTGCCGTGATTGCTGGAATATTGCTAAAAGCGGCGTAAAACCATACTCACTCACTCACTAACTTATGAAGAAGCCAAAGATGCAGTGGCAATAATGAAGGCGATGGTTAACAATAGAGAAAATCTGTTTTATTTTCCAATGTCATATCAATGCACGTTTACTCATTTTGAAAGTCTCCGTGGTGGTTGTTCTTTGCGGAAAAACCATGTAAACACACATTGTGTGAGTTGGGTTTACCCCCGCTACAATGTTTCAGTTATATCATTTGTCAGTCTTATGTAGCAAGAAGCTCCAAGTACGCTGATCTTGGATGTCCACCATTGATGTAACCCAGGGTACGGTTGATCAGTGGAATCTGTGATTGGTTCCACAGACGAGCAGAACCTGGCACGGCTAAGGGAGGCAACCGTGCAAGAGGCACCATGGGCGACTTTTGAGAAGCCTTTCAGGGAAGTATATCAGAGCAGGTCCATATGAGTTAGTAACACCCCAGTCTATATCAACTGTGTGAGACATGTATCAGGCTTTACATGGGTGGATACAGAAGGGGGTGGGTACGGGGGTGCGCACCCCCCTCCCCCCCCCCCCTTTTTTTATTTCGAAAAAAATCTTTATTTCTGTGTAAATTACCACCATAGACAATAAATAGATCTTAATTGAGCACGCCTCTTTTAAAAAAAGCTGTATCCGCCCATGCTTTATATCCTTCAACAATATAACAGAAGTGGTGAATCTGAGATTCAAACTCACATGTTCTCATCCGTCAGGTATTCTGGTGTTTGCAACTAGTGTTACAGTATGATTTGGTGTAGATCTAATCTAATTCTGAAGATTATGTCTTGACTAGAAATACAGTAACTCTCAGTGGTATTAACGCACATGACGTTATAACTACGCACACATACTGCTAGTTCAACTGCTGACACGCTAGAGTTGACACTGTTAATAGTTGTCTATTCTCACACCTCGCCGTATGTGTATTTATAATGTTCATGCAATAATAGAGCCTTCGGTGGTGGCAGCAGTTACGTCCCTTTGTTTGCAAGCAATCGATATGTGTCGTGGTAACCAAGTCTCGCCCACAAATAAATGATTCAACATCAGCAGAGGAGGGGCGGCCTCGTCATCACTGGTAGTTAGTACTAGTTACTGATGGTATATATTATAAATAAATTTGATATCACATTTCTGCTTGATGAGAAACAAACCAGATTTTATTTATTATTTAATGCGTAACTCACCAATATTCCAGCTAAATACACCACAGACTAGACTAGAGGTACATCGATAAATAGCTTCATTCACGCCCAACGTATACACACAAACATCGCTTATCCCGAATTAATTGTTTAATTACCTCCGCAGTGGCAATAATAATAATAATGATAATAAACATAATAATAATAAATAATAATAATAACATATATACTATCGTCATTTGCTTCATAATTTTGTAATAACAGCTAGATCTATAGGGAAACAACGAGGACCGAGTCGTAGTAACGTTGGCATCGTACTGTTACATGTATCCACGTAGGGAGAGGAATAGACACTTAAATTGTAGTGTACTTGATAACACTACTGGCACATGTACTCACCTGTATTGTGGTAATCCGGCGTCAGAGATGTTTGAGAGAGATGGCCCGAGTTGAGGCGTGATTTGTGTGGCTGTGCGGGATTCGAGAAAGATGCACAGTCGATCCAGTCCTCCGAACGATAGTTTAGTAGAACAGTGCCAGACATCGCTGCAGATTTCACAGAAAGAACCTATCCACGGTGTAGGAGTATAACTCACACTGGTGATTCAGCTTGAGTAACTGCAAGGCGAGGCTTTGAGTGAGCTGTCGTAACCCATGTATATAAAACGCCTAAGAAGGGAATTCCCAGCTAAAAATAGAACCTGTCCGGGGGGAAACGATATGAAAGGGCGATAACTTTCCATCCTGTTGGTCGACCTATTTATAGACGGGGCCATTTAGAAGGAAGGACTTTCGCGTTTTTTCCATCCTAAAATATGTTCTGCATCAAGAAAATGTATGAAGGATTATCCAGTGGGTATATATTAAAGTGAAAACCAATAAACCGTTTTGAACACGTTTTGTACAGACAAAATTAAAAACTTCAATGTCTGCCACAAAATATGCACAAAATCCAGTCCGTTCAAATGCTATCTGATTTTTGTCTATGCAGTTCATCTTCAGATATGTCTCTAACAAACAGCAAATATGAAAAGTATTTCCGTAACCATGAAATATAAAATAAACCTCCTTTCGATAACATTTGAATAAAATGCACAGTGTTTATTGAGATAACAAACTGTAGCTGATCAAGTGCTTCCAATGACCTTGAAAATATGGACAAGGTCACCATGCAACTGACGTATGCAAACACCCCAAAGACAAACTGGCTCTCACCGTGAACCAACACCATGCTAAAGATGTTGAGATAGCTCGCTAACAACAATATGATGTATGATTATTCTACATGGCTGCACGTGTGTAAATTCCACAAGGTTATCAGCTTTAGATACTACATCTGCATACCTTTTCTTTCAGCGCGTGTTGATAGTGTATGCAGTGATAGCTGTAAATCAATGTGTGTGTTAGATTCCACGTTAATTGGAGTGCGGCGTTAACAACAAACAAACAAACAAAAATCAGTTGGCAAATTGGTCTATATTTCAATTACCATCCTTTTTCACAAATCTGTTGTACATTTGGTCATACCGTCAATTTATCTATAACGCAATGATGAGGACTTTAGAACACAACCAGATTATAACGCGCAGGTGTACACTTGTATAGAAACTGCGACATTTCTTGAATATTTCTCTTCAAGAGGCGAGGGGCGGTGGTGTAGCCTAATGTGGTTTAAATGTTCGCTCGTCATGCCCTATTCCCGACATGGGTAAAATGTGTCAAACCCATTTCTGGGGTCCCCTGCCGTGATATTGCTGGAATATTGCAAAAAGCGTCGTAAAACAATACTCACTCAAGTTGCCAGGACTATACGACCCAGTCCCAAACATCACGGGCATACGACGCGAGTAAATGTCGTTTCAAATACTAAATGTTCCGGCATTTTTACGATACGAGGGATGAGGCTATTTCCAAGTTGTCATCCACCTTTCAATAAATACAGCATCAGGTAAATATTTACTTCCAAGCTTTCACAGGACGAGTAGCATGAGCTGTGCTTATATGTACTAACATGTTCAAGCGCTGATAGTAGATCCTTTAGTAGCCATCTTTCATGGTTTGATAAAACAGTCGTTGCGATCATTCTTTCAGGTGAAGCATTGTCATGTGTACGTTCTCACTCAGGTTTGGAGGAACACCATATACAGAAAAATATACATATGTACTGATGAGGTGAGTTTAAAAAAAATGTTAATCCGGTTGGTAACTACCGAGTAAGATTTGTCTGAATTAAGTTTAGCAACAATCGAAACATGGAAACACGTTTCTAACAGTTCCGTCCGCAATACGGAATATATTTGGAATTTTACCACTAATTACGCATTCACTTGGGCAAGCGAGTGGAAATGGTATTCAGCCTCTTTCTGTTAAGGTTGCGTTTCTAATTAATTATCTATTCCAAAGGAATCGACCTTCTATATACAGGGAATCCCTCAATGGCCGGGACCTCTGTGGACTTATAGCAACATTATTCCAGTTATAACGCGGCGTGTCAGCTTAATGTGGGGGGAAAGCCCGAAGTGATGCAGGTCTCAGACGTTTACCACTTCGGTGAAACCCACGAGCACGGGTATGGTGCTGACAAACCTTGAAACATAATCGGGGCGAACCAGGATTCAAACCCACAATCATACGTTTCTGGCGTGCCCAAGCGACGAAACTCTGCACAGCGAATCGCGGCGCCTTAGACTTAAAGCAAGAACAGGTGGCACATGCGGGTTCATCGCGGGTACAGGTAATAGGGGTTAGCTTATAAGGGGACCGATAGTAAGTGTTGGCTTATAGTGGGCACAGGTGGTAAGTATGGGCATATAGTGGGGGTATGTGGTACGTGTGGGCTTATAGTGGAGACAGGTGGTACGTGTGGGCTTATAGTGGAGACAGGTGGTAAGTATGGGCTTATAGTGGAGACAGGTGGTAAGTATGGGCTTATAGTGGGGGTATGTGGTACGTGTGGGCTTATAGTGGAGACAGGTGGTACGTGTGGGCTTATAGTGGAGACAGGTGGTAAGTATGGGCTTATAGTGGAGACAGGTGGTTCGTGTGGGCTTATAGTGGACACAGGTGGTAAGTATGGGCTTATAGTGGAGACAGGTGGTAAGTGTGGGCTTATAGTGGAGACAGGTGGTACGTGTGGGCTTATAGTGGAGACAGGTGGTAAGTGTGGGCTTATAGTGGAGACAGGTGGTAAGTGTGGGCTTATAGTGGAGACAGGTGGTACGTGTGGGCTTATAGTGGAGACAGGCGGTAAGTGTGGGCTTATAGTGGAGACAGGTGGTAAGTGTGGGCTTATAGTGGAGACAGGTGGTAAGTGTGGGCTTATAGTGGAGACAGGTGGTAAGTATGGGCTTATAGTGGAGACAGGTGGTAAGTATGGGCTTATAGTGGAGACAGGTGGTAAGTGTGGGCTTATAGTGGAGACAGGTGGTAAGTGTGGGCTTATAGTGGAGACAGGTGGTAAGTATGGGCTTATAGTGGAGACAGGTGGTAAGTGTGGGCTTATAGTGGAGACAGGTGGTACGTGTGGGCTTATAGTGGACACAGGTGGTAAGTGTGGGCTTATAGTGGAGACAGGTGGTACGTGTGGGCTTATAGTGGAGACAGGTGGTACGTGTGGGCTTATAGTGGAGACAGGTGGTAAGTGTGGGCTTATAGTGGAGACAGGTGGTAAGTGTGGGCTTATAGTGGAGACAGGTGGTAAGTGTGGGCTTATAGTGGAGACAGGTGGTAAGTGTTGGCTTATAGTGGAGACAGGTGGTAAGTATGGGCTTATAGTGGAGACAGGTGGTAAGTGTGGGCTTATAGTGGGCACATGTGGTAAGTGTTGGCTTATAGTGGAGACCGGTGGTAAGTGTGGGCTTATAGTGGAGACAGGTGGTAAGTGTTGGCTTATAGTGGAGACAGGTGGTAAGTGTGGGCTTATAGTGGAGACAGGTGGTAAGTGTGGGCTTATAGTGGAGACAGGTGGTAAGTGTGGGCTTATAGTGGAGACAGGTGGTAAGTGTGGGCTTATAGTGGAGACAGGTGGTACGTGTGGGCTTATAGTGGAGACAGGTGGTACGTGTGGGCTTATAGTGGAGACAGGTGGTAAGTGTGGGCTTATAGTGGAGACAGGTGGTAAGTGTGGGCTTATAGTGGAGACAGGTGGTACGTGTGGGCTTATAGTGGAGACAGGTGGTAAGTGTGGGCTTATAGTGGACACAGGTGGTAAGTATGGGCTTATAGTGGAGACAGGTGGTAAGTGTGGGCTTATAGTGGAGACAGGTGGTACGTGTGGGCTTATAGTAGAGACAGGTGGTACGTGTGGGCTTATAGTGGAGACAGGTGGTACGTGTGGGCTTATAGTGGAGACAGGTGGTAAGTGTGGGCTTATAGTGGAGACAGGTGGTAAGTGTGGGCTTATAGTGGAGACAGGTGGTAAGTATGGGCTTATAGTGGAGACAGGTGGTAAGTATGGGCTTATAGTGGAGACAGGTGGTAAGTGTGGGCTTATAGTGGAGACAGGTGGTAAGTGTGGGCTTATAGTGGAGACAGGTGGTAAGTGTGGGCTTATAGTGGAGACAGGTGGTACGTGTGGGCTTATAGTGGAGACAGGTGGTACGTGTGGGCTTATAGTGGAGACAGGTAGCAAGTGTGGGCTTATAGTGGAGACAGGTGGTAAGTGTGGGCTTATAGTGGAGACAGGTGGTAAGTGTGGGCTTATAATGGAGACAGGTGGTAAGTGTGGGCTTATAGTGGAGACAGGTGGTAAGTGTGGGCTTATAGTGGAGACAGGTGGTAAGTGTTTGCTTATAGTGGAGACAGGTGGTAAGTGTGGGCTTATAGTGGAGACAGGTGGTACGTGTGGGCTTATAGTGGGCACATGTGGTAAGTGTTGGCTTATAGTGGAGACAGGTGGTAAGTGTGGGCTTATAGTGGAGACAGGTGGTAAGTGTGGGCTTATAGTGGAGACAGGTGGTAAGTGTGGGCTTATAGTGGGCACATGTGGTACGTGTGGGCTTATAGTGGAGACAGGTGGTAAGTGTGGGCTTATAGTGGAGACAGGTGGTAAGTATGGGCTTATAGTGGAGACAGGTGGTAAGTGTGGGCTTATAGTGGAGACAGGTGGTAAGTGTTGGCTTATAGTGGAGACAGGTGGTAAGTGTTGGCTTATAGTGGAGACAGGTGGTAAGTGTTGGCTTATAGTGGAGACAGGTGGTAAGTGTGGGCTTATAGTGGAGACAGGTGGTACGTGTGGGCTTATAGTGGAGACAGGTGGTAAGTGTGGGCTTATAGTGGAGACAGGTGGTACGTGTGGGCTTATAGTGGAGACAGGTGGTAAGTGTTGGCTTATAGTGGAGACAGGTGGTACGTGTGGGCTTATAGTGGAGACAGGTGGTAAGTGTGGGCTTATAGTGGAGACAGGTGGTAAGTGTGGGCTTATAGTGGACACAGGTGGTAAGTATGGGCTTATAGTGGAGACAGGTGGTAAGTGCGGGCTTATAGTGGAGACAGGTGGTACGTGTGGGCTTATAGTGGAGACAGGTGGTAAGTGTGGGCTTATAGTGGAGACAGGTGGTAAGTGTGGGCTTATAGTTGGCACAGGTGGTAAGTATGGGCTTATAGTGGACACAGGTGGTAAGTATGGGCTTATAGTGGAGACAGGTGGTAAGTGTGGGCTTATAGTGGGGACATGCGGTAAGTGTTGGCTTTCAGCGGGAACAAGTGTTAAGTGTGGGCGTATAGGGGCATCAAAATCTTCTCTCAGTCAATTGTACTGCCTACAACATACCACATTTGTTTTTCAAAAAGGGTGGGTGGGAGGTGGCGGTGGGGACAGAGGGTCCAGGGGGTCCGGGTCCTGCTTGATATGAGTATACGCTTTTCCCTCATAATTTCATAATTCTGCCTAAAGTTGTACAAAACTCTCTGCTACGATAGTTGTAACTCTACCGGTCTACAGCTTATGATTTCCCTGTACGTCAGTGTCAGTTAAGCATACATCAGCACACACGACACCCGTCACTTCCATGTCCTGCCTACCTACTGGGAATTCGAGATATATTTAGATCCACGTTACAATTGTAAATATGGGTTATAGTTAACACCTTGAATAAATAGATCGATTGAGAAACGTCACAATACAACTGTGTGCCGGGTAGCCAACCAGTGTCAAGTAGGTGTACAAGGGACTATTTGACAGTATGAGTGAAGGTCAGCACTGACAAGGATGTATCGGTTGAATGACGCTACATCCAGTGTTTATTCATAAGGTATATGTGCTCATTGACAGCAGGAAATCATTATAACGCTTCTAAATCTATCACTATCAACGTCCGTGTTATGATGAAAACACAACAGAAAATTTCCAGTGGTAGTATATTACATTTATTTCATATATAACATATTATTTTCAGAGAAATTAAAGGAAAGAACCGCATGTGAAAAGAGTAAATATATGTGTGCTTGTTGCTTAACGGCGCACTCCGTAATAGTGTAGATATATGACGGCGGTCTGTAAATAATCGAGTTTTGACCAGAAAATCCAGTGATTGACATCATGAGCATCGATCCACACAGTTGGGATACGATGACATCCATCAACCACAACAACGTGCCAGATCCGGTTAGTCGCCTCTTACGAGAGGTTTGAGTTACTGAAGAGCAATTCTAACCTGGATCTTCACTGGAGTAGGATATCTGTACAGAAAACCCTAGAGATATTTTATCTGCGCCTAATTACAGAAGCACATTTAATGACAAAACTAGCCAGTTAATGGCAGGCTGCATCGAAAACAATTCTTTGAGCGAATCCTTAAAATTACTATATCTTATTCTTATAACTTCCTGTAAAGCGAAGGGGGCACGGGTAGACCAGTCGTCTAAGGCGCCGCGATTCGCTGTGCAGAGTTGCGTCCCTTAGGCACGCCCGAAACCTATGATTGTGGGTTCGAATCCCGGTTCGCCCTGATTATGTTTCTAGGTTCGTCAGCACCATACCCGTGCTCGTGTGTTTCACCGAAGTGGTAAACGTCTGAGACCTGCATCACTTCGGGCTTTCCTCTCACATTTAGCTGACACGCCGCGATATAACTGGAATACTGTTAAAAGCAGCGTTGGGAGGAAAGCCCGAAGTGATGCCGGTTTCAGAAGTTTACCACTTCGGTGAAATCCACGAGCACGGGTATGGTGCTGACAAACCTAGAAACATAATTGGAAGAAATCCAATTACGTCAAAATAAACTGAGTAGATATTTCAAATATCGAGCAAATATTTGCTTGTTTGATGCCCTGTTAAGACGTGGACATACCTCGTCTATTTCGCAAGTTCAACGCAACGCAGCTATTTCTTTCATAAATATAGAGTTTGTATTTTTATTAAATCATTTCAGACGCAATGACATATTATCAGATTATGATCAACTTACAATAACGAAAAGAAACCAGCATAATTTTCTCACATTTTCAAAAAAATAAATTCTAATATTTCGAAAGCTTGAGTGGCTAAGGGTCTCAGTGGCTAAACTGTTCGGGAGCTCAGATTCAATAACGAAAGGCCTTTAGGTTCCAAGATCGGTAACTATTTTAAGAAATGCCAATTCAGGTATGCCAGGTTACTGTGTTGGAGGTAGATGCTTGTTACCAGTGAAAAAACAGGTTATTACATTGTAAAGAACAGCGAACGTACACGTTAATAAACTGCCTTAATGAGCAACATAACAGGGGACAGGTTAATAGTTCGCATGTACGAACCTCCATCTAACAGGACAGATATACCCATTGTGAGAGGTTCACATAGACCTAACATCATTCCTTATAAGCAACGTAGATACAAACGCAACGTTTCTAAATGTCATTAAATTGTAAGTTTAACGCCGACGTTGTCTATCAGTTTGCACCTCAATCGGTTTTATAGTTTTCATAAATTAGCCCTTTCAAAGAATAATCTCAAAGGCTACAATCAGTGTAAATCTTTAGACTGGAATCTTGTTCTTGGCTAGAATCACCTTCCACTTGCACAAAGCTATAGTTGGCTAATAAGATCAATGTAATCTACTACTAAAACGTAAGTTTGGTCTAACCGATCTTAAGGAGCTAAAGTTTCTTTCTGAAAGCGGAATGAGATATAGCTAGAATTATTTCAGAGTTTACTGTAATATTAGACTGTTACTAAAGGATGAACCATTGTAAATTCTCAGTGGGATTTGTATTTAAGATGCAACGTGGTCTTCACTCATAATAAAACTGTTCACAGGATGTGTTGGATATCCAGAATGCCATTGAATCCCTGGAACAACTCCATGGAAGATGAGCCTGTTATGTGATTCGGTGACTTGACGAGAGACTAGTGCACAGCGGCGTTCGACCGTCCCCGAATGTTCGCTTCACATACCATGCATTTGTCAATTTTGTTCTCGCAAGATGAACACGTGACACGATGGCCACAAGGCAGGAAGATGACGGAGACATCTTTGTTTGTGCACAATCTGCACAATCTGGATTGTTCACCCATGCTTCTTTTCCGTGCATTAGCATTACTGGGAGATGACATTAATGTTATCATCTTGATATTTGTCAGTGGTCTTAAGGAAAGTAGCACTGTCTTCGCCTGGTCGTGTTATTCGTGAAACCTTCACCTCTAAGTTTGAGACATCTTTCGCTGCCACAGTGTTGTCAGTGTTGAAAATCTTGTTTGCGATGAAGTTAAGTTGAGTGATAAGGCTAAAACATGACTGGTTGTTATTCGGGTCATCTGTAATGTGTTCCGTTTTCTTAATAAACTGACAGTGTTCCGAGTATCTCTCATGTTCGGCCACAGGGTCATGTTCTTCCTCCCAGTCTCTCAGAGTTATCCCGCACTGGAAACACCTGACCCGGTCAGCTGACCCGATGTAGAAGAACCCGGCTGTTGCCAACTGCTCGGGTGTTTTCGGGACGTACCGTGCAGGCCAGTTGACAAATGATTCAAGTCGTGAGCTGTAAGTTTGGTACTGTGGGTGCTTTGGCGCCTCACTCGACACGCGTTGCTGCTTGGGTCTCTTGGGACTTGACATCTTGTATTATCTGTAGAAAATCAAAACTCGATATGCAGTTATTACACATGCAGTATTTTAACATTCTTTAAAAAAGCGAGTAACGTGGTTCAATTACACAAGAATCTGAACAGAGTCGGAAGGTGGGCTACTATTGATGCTTGTTAGCTTTGTGCAAATGAACCGAATTCGAATAAGGAATTCATGTCCGTTTCCAACACTATTCTGGAGATAAGAACGGCTTTAAGACATTCGACACTTATTACTGCGGCCACGTATTTGAGCCATTGTATGTCCTTTTGTATTGTAAGCCTAATACTGGGTGTTTGAATCTAATTCATTGATTATTCCTTTCCTTACAATATCAATAAATCGTTATAATCCAGTTAAACTTAAGATGTCACAAATTCGAAAATTATATATTGATGTAAAACAATATTTTTGATACGTATCAGTAATACACTTCTTCTTTAATGATAATTAAGAATTCTTCCTTAAAGCCATAGATAACTAAACTAGTGTCCAAAAGAAACTATACCACCTGTTTGCAACGACATAAAAGAAAAACTAAACAATGCAGAAGTTTAGGATTGGTGTTATGCTTTTGAGAAATCCTTTCACAACATCTGTACAAAAATTTCATTTCAATAAAATCTGTACAACCAATATGAAAAGCCTTTCAAGATGGGTGGGGTCAAAAAATGAACATTTCGTTAGAGCACTGATCACAGAAACAACAGGAAATGTCACACCACACGTCTCAAAGTCAAGTCAGTAGCGGGTATGTCCACCGTGAGCATCAATACATGCCAGAACACGCCTACGGACTGATGACGTCAAACGTCTGATGACGTTGGGAGTGATGCGTTGCCATTCCTCGAGGAGACATCGTTCCAAGTCCTGGACGTTGACTGGAGGCACACGGCGACGTCGGATTTGCCGATCGAGGTGGTCCCATAAGTGCTCGATGGGATTCATGTCCGGTGAACATGCGGGCCATGGCACAACCTGTACGTTGGCGTTGGCAAGGAAGTTCTGTGTCAATCTTGCTGTGTGTGGCCTTGCATTGTCATGTTGGAAAAGGAGTCCACGAGGCTGTTGCTGAATAAAGGGCTTCACAACAGGCCGTAGGATGTCATCAAGATAGCGCTGTGCATTCAGGTTTCCACGAATTACGACAAGCATCGTTTTGACGTCACCACATATGCCACCCCAAACCAATAACCCTCCACCTCCAAACGGCCGGACCTGTTGGATACAGTTAGGCGCCAAAACGTTCACCAAATCGTCGGTATACAAGCTGCCTTCCATCGTTTCTGAAGATGAGGAATCTGCTCTCATCAGAGAACATAACACATGCCCAGTCCCGCCGTTGCCAACGTCGAACTCTCCTGGCCCAGATCAGTCTGTTGTTCCGGTGTCGAGGCGTCAGGAGCGGTCCGCGGTAGGGATGACGTGGCCGGATACCATACTGCCGTAGTCTCCTGTAGACGGTCTGTCGACTGATCCTGTGTCCCAGTGCTGTAGCCGCCGTGGACGTCGCTGTTACGGTGCGGTTCCTCAGGTGTAATACCCGGATTTTACGATCTTCACGGGGCGTGGTTACTTGTGGTCTTCCACTCCTGGGCCTGTCTGACGTCTGACCTGTCTGACGTAACCGCTGCATCAACCTGGTGATAGTGATGCGTGCGCAGCCCAACCTTCTGGCGACGTCGACGTGTGACGCTCCTTGTTGGACCATTCCAACGGCTCTCTCTCTCTCGATGGCTGTCAAACGTGGCATATCTTGTGTTCTTTTTGTTGCTGTGATATCAACGTGTCTGATCAGCCGTTTTATACAGTTTTTCTGCACGTGCAGAACATGCTAGAGAGGGAAATGTCACTTTCACGAAATTGACGTTTTTTCCCGGAAGTGATCACGTGTTCCCGGTATTTTTTATCGACTATGCTGTGTTTGGGATGGGCAATACGAATTGGCATGTTTTCATACTTGACATTTCACTTAGTAAAAAACAATTTTGAAAATAAGTTGGTATCGTTTCTTTTGGACACTAGTTTATTTGTCAATAGTACCGTCTGTCTATTATATCATGAATTTGGTTTTAGGGATATATTTCTTGGTGTTTGTCATTTGTTAATAGTAGGTATCAATACATTCGACAAGCTTAACATGACATTCTAGAAATAACTGAAGTGTACAAAATCCTCTTTCAATTATTCAAGGGAGATAACATTGTGGAAAAGGATATCAACGATATCACAAAATCGATTTTTTGATATCTAAAATCCTCATCATTTCTATTTCACATATTGATAACTGATATCATAATTCGATAATAAGACATCACAAAATCAATTGTTGATGTCACTAAATCAATAATATTGTATGATACCAATAATTAGTATAATATCATGAAATCGAACTTGTGATATCAGTCTATCATTATCTGACATCAGTAAACAAAATGATAATATTGATACAATAACATAGGGAAGGAACATACAACGATGCCTCATACTGGCCTCGACCAAGACCAAGAGTTCAGCCAACCATTCAAGGCCGAGCCTGCAAGAAGCCTGTTTATCCCGGGATAACGGGAGTCGAGTGAGTTTGGTTGTTACGCCGCTTTTAGCAATATTCCAGCAATATCACGGTGGGGGACACCAGAAATGGGCTTCACACATTGTACCCATGTCGGGATTCGAACACGGGCCTTCGGCGTGACGAGCGAACGCTTTAACCACTAGGCTACCCGACCGCCCCTACGGGAGTCGAAGATGTGCCATATTTGTAAGTGCTTTGTGAAAATTGCATGGGACGGTAATAACACAACATTTTTATCCGGGTTTGCAAACTCAAATGACAAAGCGTATTGTTTTCCCGTTTGACGTTCGGTGTTTTAGAACAATTGTTCTCTATTTTAGAACTCAATGATTGTCGTTTCCGCCCTACGACATTGATATTGTCGCCTTGCTGATGCGTCACAGCAGCTGTTCTTGTACTAGTGCCGTCTCTGGCATGGCACCGAATGGTTTCTAAAACTCCAGGACAGGGCTGCTCAATTAAAGGCTACGATTCAACCTGCATTGTGCGGTTCTACTTGTGTAATCACCACTGCGAACCTGCCAAGAAATCTCTGCATTTACCTGTGAATAATTCTGTGTCGTTTGAAACACTGCGACAGTATAACTGCATATAGAAGTCACTGAAAATTAATCCAAATATTTGCACTCATCTCTTCAGGAATCTATCTGTCGAGCGTTTGTGAGTCCAAGTGGTCCAACATCTAGCTGGTGATATATGCACTTATCAGATCAACGAATCGTCTGTAACTGTTTTCAGATAAAGATCATGTTTATATATAGATAACTGTCTGTCCATCTTTTGAGGGGTTGTTGGGGTGTTGAAAATACTTGTTCGTTATCGCACGAATATATAAGGCGTGATATACGTGTTATTGAAGCACCAACTGATAGCGAGAAACATAGCGATCACACTGACCCTAAACATCACAATGTTCACGTGGAGGTTTGTTTCCGTCATTGCTATATATAGTTCACAGTTCTGTTACAAGAAAGACATATTTCAATGCCTGGGTTTTCCAGTATCTGCTATTTTTAGATCCACGTTGATAATAAGTTGAAGCAGGGTAACTCGGGGTATATGTGTTTTATGCGTCCCACGTTAGATTCCATACCACGAACCGGAGGCGAGGAACGCATGAAGCCACATACACCCCATTGGCGGATACAGAGGGGTGGGTGGGTGTTTGGACCAAAGACAATAAATAGATCTTAATTGTGCACCCCACCTTTTCAAAAAAGCTGTATCCGCCCATGCACCCCGTGATACTGCTGCGACGAATGTATCTTGCCGACATGTTTTCAATCTTCTGTTGTAAAAGAACTGACGTGAATTGAAAACTGATGGGCATTCCGCAACAGCTGCTGATTGAGCTGAGGTTAACTTGTGCTGTGCCATGTGACTTTCAATGACTCGTATGCAAAGTGCAGCTATTTGCTTCGGATTTATTCTCCCGCTCAGAAATTTATTTCTCTCCCAGTACCAGTGTCACGAGGGGTTCATGTGGTTTTATGCGTCCCGCGTTAGGTATATACCAATAAATCGATGAATCGATCAGTTACTAAATCAGTTACTCAACCAGCTTTTCTATAAATCAACGAGTTAATCAATCAGTGGATGAAGTATTCCTAAACGACCATCCACAGTAGTGCATGCATTACACGATAGTGCACTCAACACAGGCATACTGGACTTATAACATTATATTTTCTTGTAAACATAAGTGATGACGTTACTCAGATGTCCCATGACAGGTGGTTGATTATTGCTAACAGTTGTTGTTATTTATGAGAAATTGGTTTCGCATAGAACTATATATTTAAATAGCACTGGCGTTCGTATACAAAATGTATGCATTCAAATAGATAATGAAACTGATCGCCAACTGAGAACGTACCATTTGGGCAACGGCTGTGAACTATTACAACGTATACGGATATAGGAATCTTGTCCAAACTCGGGTTTTATGCAGGAGTACAATTTACCTTGAGAGGAATACGTTCGGTCATGATGCCAACTTTGTATAAAATGATATGTAAATCTTGTTTCAACAATGGAAGAAGCGATTGTCTGTCACAAGCATACTGATTAGTGATGGTATCCCGCCATAATTCGGGTCACAGCTATTTAATAAATCCATAATAAACTTAACAATTTCGAATTATCCTTGGTATCCATGTATAATTTAAAGATAATATCATATATACTTTCCGCAAGCTTATTGTTATTTATACCGCTTACAATTTTAGACCGCCTCCGTGGTGAAGTGGTAGAGCGTCCGCCCAGAGAGCGGTAGGTCCGGGGTTCAATCCCCGGCCGCGTCATACCAAAAGCAGCTTTACGATGGTACTTGTTGTTACCCTCTCTGGCGCTCGGTATTAAGGTGCTAAGTAAGTAAGTATACTGTGTCTGAGTGGGGTATTCATGTTGAACTGCG